CAGAAAAGTGTTTTCTGGATGATAAATGAAACTAGACGAGTTCCTACCCAATTAGAGCAATATTTCATGAAAAAACCTTGTTTTTTCTCAAGCCATCCGGTCATTTGAACCCATCGGAAATTGGCCTCGAATTGAGCAAAACGAAGCGAAGACGCGAGGATCAGATTTCCCCGTCCTAACGCATCTTCTCTTCACTAAATATCTTTTATATTACTGTCTACCCCTGTTAATTATACACTGAAATTCTAAAAATGGGGCTTCTAACTCGGCTCAAGCAAGCGGATCTCCTTCGACCTGTCGTCAATATTTTGCCTTCCGTTGTTTTAGTTAGTTTCTTCTTTTTTCTTATTTCACACTGTGAATACCGAAATGAAAAGGGCCCAAATCGAAAAAGGGATTTTTTTTTTTTTCGATTTCCTTCTGAAGATCCGTCATTTATTTTCGAAAAATCAGGAAAAAACTTAAAACATGGATTTTTATCAATCGGAATCGAACCTGGGTACTTTTCCTTATATCCCAATGAAACCCATGCGTTTCAATTTTTAAAATTCTTGGAGTCACTAATGGAAAATGGGAAAGAATCTAACTTCAACTACCTTGATTGAACCCGACCCAATGATAACCTCAAAAAATTGCCCCAACCAGCTTGGGCCTAATTTTCTTTATCTCCTCACCTTTCCAAGTTACTTATAACTCTCAAAAATCAATTATACCAAAAGAAAAAAATGGCAAAAAAAATTTGGCGTCAGCCGGAACCGAACCTGACAACTGAAAGAAGAGCTTACCCATCACAGTTTTGTATCTTATCAGATTTTCATATAGACGATTCACGGCTAGCTTGGGACGCAAAAAGGCGTGGCCTCTCTGCACTCTCCACCAACCAGGGCACTGTCTCGTCTCTTTTCGTGGCAGGACCCTTTTCTCGATGGCTCAAGCCGGTTTCTAGAATCAGCTAGAGCTTCATTCGGGTTAAAATACTAAGCTCAGGCGAATCCTGGGAGGTTGTTAGGAAGGTAACCAGCAGGAGGTTGGGAGGTGTGTGGAAGGTGAAAATGAAAAATGCCTGCCAGAAGCCTGCTGGAAAGCTTCTGAAAGGCTTTCGAGGAACTTAAAGCAGAAACTTCCCAATTTTAACCGGAGAAGAGAGGTTATTTTACCAGGCGGTTTGGGAGTACTTGAAAAGCGGCCAGAACAATTCTTGATGTACCAGGAGAAGATTCTGAAAGTCTCAGTCTGCAAAATTTACTTATTTTCGATAAAGGACATCTCAAAGTCAATGAAAACCCTCGAAATTCAGTAAAATAAGATATTTTGAGGCCTTGAGCCCTCATTTATTGAAAACTAAAAACTAAACAGTATGGTTGCAGATTGAGACTTCTATAATTTACTTTTAAAAACTATCTTGGAAATTTTTAAGAAATTTCCGAACTCAAAATGACAACCTCCCTCATGGGCTTTCCGTCTTATTAGATGTTCCCATAAATTCAAAGTACTTATCAATAAAAATCTCTGCTAAACATTTTTCAAACACTTTTTTTCTTGAACACTATCGATGTAGACATATAGCTATTCCTTTTTTTGCGTGGGATGGACCTCAGCTGGTCTTTCTTAATTTCCTTACATCTAATAAGCGTATTGGTCCTGTTCTCCCAGATTCTTCGGTTTATTCTGTTATTTACTTCTTTTTTTCATGTTTTCTGGAAGCCCCGGCCTTTTTGAAATTCCAGAAAACTTTTTATTAGTCTTTTAATCGTGGCTTCCACATTTAAATTCGATAATTTTATTTAGGGACCGCAAAGCCACGCCCCTTTTCGCGATAGAAAAAGTGGCTTTTTTTTGGTTTTCAACTTTCATTTTGTTGTAGTTGCAAAATATGTGGAACTGGCTAATAAAAATTTGACACACATGTACAGAAAAAAAGCTTCCTCTTTCATTTAAAAAAATATTTCACGCTTTTTTTGATGCGTTCTCGCGGAATGTCGTACAAAAAAACGTGAATGGAACTAAAAAAATTTTTGTCATTTTTTTGCTTTTTTTCATGTGTTTTCAGGTCGAACGCACTCTTTCTTTTTTTCTATAATGATTTTGATTCAAGTAAAGGTAATTTTAAAACAATAAAAATAAAAAAACTCGTCTTTGCCAAAAAAATTTTTAGGGAGTGCCGAAAGTCATAATTCGAAATATCGTTAATAAGCGAATATAATCGAGTTTTTTTGTTTTTTTCAGAATTTAGACCATGGGCTTACTTAAATTTTTTTCTCCACAGCATCTGCGCTTGAAAAAAAGTTGTTTAATACACAAAAAAATGCTCTTGAAAACTAGAGGATAAAAATTAGCGGCGTTTATCACACAGAAAGCGGTCGAACGCAGGTTTTTTTAAACAATTATATACATTTATTAGTGAAAAAAATCTTTCAATTAAAAAGAATAAAATAAAAAAATTCGTCTTTGCCAAAAAAATTTACGGGGCCGTTTTATTGCTGCGATCGTTAAACGAGGCAAAAAGGCACTAAAAAAACAGTTTTTTTCAAATTAAATTTCTACGAAAAGTTTGAGTAGAGATTTGCGAACATATTCTGATAAAAAAATAGCTTAATTACTTCAAGTTTTTTTCTTTTTTTGAAATAGGCAATCTGTGCTATTCAAACGGCTCAAGGGTATGGCGGATGGAAACTCCCCTCGCTAGACCTGACAGCTTGGCGCAGCGCGTGCGCTGCGAACTTTTCATTTTGAGGCCGCGAGTTCGATGCCCGCAAGCGTCAGTTTTTTTGTTTTTCTGGAAAAATACCGACTTTTTTTCGGCAAACTAGCTGATTAGCATCATTTTAGCACTCTATTATGATTTTTTTACATCATAATAGACCAGTATCAAAAACTTGTTCTAGAAGAAAAAAATTGAGAAAAAAATATCAAAAACTATATAATACCAAAATTTCAGTACTAAAAAAATGGTGCGCGGTGCGCCACATTTTCCGTCATAACTTTTTTCATCCTCAATCTTTTTTGAAAAACTAAACGGTTCTGAGTTTTGAATCGAAACAGCTATCAAACCATACAAAACTCAATGCTGAAAAAATTTTTTTGAAAATTCGTCTGCGGTCCCTAATTTTATTCTTTGGAGTCTGGAAACACACCTTCTTCTTATACGAAAAAACAAACAAATATTATTTCCGTTAATTCAAGAACCTGTGGCCGCATTTGGAATGGCTCGACTGAGAAGCGGTCACTAGTAAAGTTCATCCTTGAATTGGCTTTGGCGGAAATTTAAAAAGAGACAGATTGAAATTTTAAATTAGACCTCAGCACGATCGCAAAGCCCATAGCCATTCTACATGCGACCGAAACAAATTCTATTCTTTTTGAGCCTTTTTTTCTGCAAATTCAATGTTTTCCCGGCAAAGTCCACTCAAGACTTCTTCTCCCTATTCAAAAAAAGGCCCTTGAAATCATATTTTCGGCCTCTTAAAAATTGTCCCACCAGAAGTAATAAAACCCGCGAAATATATTTCATTTCCAACACGAACACAAACAAAATACGTTCAAATTCGTTTTTTCCTCTTCCTCTGTCGTTATATTACACTAGAGAGAAACGGATGAGCCATGTTTTGTTTTCCTTGTTTTTGATGTTTCGAATTTCAATTTGTCGTTTTTTTTTTGGTTGAAACTTTTTGAATTTTATTCGCTTTGAGGAGCAAAATAGATGAACTTTACTGGGAAAAATGTTAGTGGTCACTATAGAGGCTTACCAAGGACTACTTGGAGAGTTTACTAAAGTGGCCACTAAACCCAGCTCTATAGCGGCTACTATTTTCCGTTTTAATGGCCACTATAGGGGTTCTCTATTTAGTGGCCACTTCAGTAGTCTTTCATCCCGTATTCCTTCCAGTAACTCTGATAATTTTAAAACAAACATATTGGACCAGTTATGTTGATCCATTGACCCCTAAATAGGCCACTAATTTTTAACCCTTTAAGTGGCCACTGATTTGACTACTATAGTGGCCACTAAGCATTTTCCCAGTAGCTTCATTAGTCAGTAGAGATTTTCTCGGTAAAGCGAAAAAAAAGTTCCGCAGCCAAGTTATTTTTGATATACCACTGTAACGGAAAAGTGACGTTATGGCTAAAGGGCAATAAATACACGTATATAAAGAAAAATAAAAATAAAAAAAGACGCCATATTTATTTACGAGACCTGGAAACAGGTGCAATTACCCTTACGACTAGCCCAGCCCCATTTCACGGCTCTTTCTTTCTTTTTTTCAAAAAAATTTTTTTCGCTTAGAAATTCTTGAAAAACTATTTTTTTCTTGATTATTGCTATGAAAAATTTCAAGTTTTGATTTCTGATTTAAAAAAATGTCAAAAAAATTTTTTTTTCGCGAAAGTTCAAACTACATACTATCAGATAAACATCAGTGTACTTTTATATATTTCAAAAATTAATCCAAATTTTTTTCAAAAAGCGGCAAATTTTTCAGGCTTTTAGTAAAAATAATAATAGAAAAAAATGTACCTTTTTTTGGAGAGTTCTTATTAAAGTTTTATCATTAATCAGTAGCCAATAAGAAAAATTAGGAATTTAGTCGCAAAATTTCAAATTCAGGTCTAAATACGGAATCGAAATTTTTTTTCCAACCAATTTTACTGGAGAAAAATTTTTTTACCTTATCAACTTTTAATAGAATTATCAACAGGAAGATCAAAAAAATCGCCAAAAAAATTAGGCTCCATGCTTATAAATAAACCCAAAATCTTGAAAAATTCGAACTTTCTGAAACTATTCATTTCTCACATTTCCTCCGTAAAAAGGACTGGATTTTTCCAGAGCGTTACAAAAAATCCCATTCAATCTCTTCCATAAACCTTGATAAGTTTTCAAAATTTCATCAACTAGTTATCGAGAAAACTTGCTCCAAAATAAACTTTATACCTTCTGATCATAAAAATTCCGTTCTCGTCTCCTTTTTCTCCCGAAAATCCATTGAAAAGACAGCCAAATGTCGGCGACCAACTCGCGTCGAACTTCGGTGGGCAATTTGCTGCGGCAATTCGCCGCCAGCATCATCCCCATCACTCAGGTGTCCGTCAAGCCAACGGTTCGTCAAAAACAATCTCAGCACTTCCCACTCACTTTCTCCACATTCCTTATCTTTTCTTGACCTCCGGGCGGACTTGTGCGTAACGCTGGTCCGGGCTGGCCCAGGCTTTGGACCTCTCTTTTTTGCAAAGAGCTTGGGCCAAGTCGGGCCTCGAGGCGAGCTTTCCAGTTTTTTTATAAAATTTTCCAAAAAATCAAAGCTTCTGTTGATATTTGGAGAAAAAATGAACTAAAAACGTGATTTTTGTCGTTGAAAAATTGAGTTTTTTGGACTTTTCCGAGCTTTTTCGATTAAGACCTGGCTGAGGAAGGGCCGGTTCGGACCTAGAAAATATCCGGGAGGTAGATAAGTTGACGGGCTGGCCGTCGCACGAGTCTGCCCCCAGCCTAGCTTGATTTTCAAAAACTAGCCCTATTTACTATGCACCCGTCCAATTTATACACTTTTCTCGTAACCTTTGATTCTACGCCTCAATCTGTAAACCTAACGGTTCCATTCCAAACAATTTATATTTGTACATCAAAATTTTTTGGCAGGTACTCATTTTAGGAACGCCAGAGTGGTCCCTATGGTGGTTAGGGGAAAACAGTCTATAAAGGGGACAAGTGGGCCCTATAGGGGTTTAGGATCGCACGTCAAAGCTTCAAAAGCGCAAGTGGTCCCTAAATGGATTTTTTAAATTTGCCCAGACTTAAAAATTTTGAAGACAAACTTCATCTTCTGTTGATATTTTTCATTCGAAAAACACTGATTTGTCGAGTCTTGTGCATGGGAATTCTTCTTTTCATAGAATTCCTAAGAATAGTAGACTTGCATGTCCCCTATAGGTGCCACTAACTGAAATCCTTAAAGAGCCACTTTTGCAGGCTTTAATGACCCTAGAGGACAACTTTAAGAGTCCTAAGGTTGTCCATATAGAAACCGCAGCACCGTAGAGTAGGATTAAAAACCTTCCTAATTTTTAAGTTCAATAAAAAAAACGAGACAAAACTAAAATAATTCAGTGATACGACTATAGAAACAACCAAAATTTAACATAGCTTCTAGGGGTTTTGAATAACTATTTTTCCGTTTTCTGAATAAAAATAGGAAAAGCTAGCAAAAGTCACTTGGCAACGAAACGAAGGCAATCACGATTTCCGCTTGCGTTTTCTAGTCAAAAAGAAGCTATTCATTTTTCTATTCAAATATCTTCATTTCACTTCCGAAAAAAATCACGCAATCGTCTGTAAAAAGTGCATTAATTGAGAATCATAATGACTCGTATGACTAACAATGGAAATTGAAACATTTCTTCTTTGGATTGAAATTTGATGCGAGCCGCTTTTTTTTTGCTTCCGCCATCCCCGCGGCGCTTAAAAGGAGAGAAGAATACGCCGAAGCTTCACTATATTTTATTCATTAACTGGCCATTTTGCTACTTTTTTTAATTAATACATTAATAATTTAATAATTGACTCGGTGAAAAATGCGGCGAATGCTACCTTCTTTTCCGACTAAGCCGACCGACTTTGAGGTTTCTCGGCTCCTTTTTATTTGTTATATCATTCGAACTAATAATTTTTTTATGAAATAATCCTAAATATTTCTTGAAACTTGAATTTACAGAATATTTATACCAAACGTGTCTATTTTTAGGGCCTTCTTTTGATCTCGTGTATAAAAATTCCTAATCGGCCTTCCAGGAAACATAAAAAATTCCTGAAAGGTTTCAAAAAAATCCTGATTTACATGGTAAAATCTTTCTTCTTGGTCCCATAATTACCTGGAAAAACCAATCTCAAAAAAAATTTTAAAAACGAGTAGCTCCGCGGAAAAAAACGGTCAAACGGTAAAATTTATGAAAAAGTTCTCTAAATGTGCAGAAACATTTTACGAATTTTAAAATTGATGTTTTTCAGATGCCAACTACACAAATCAACATCGTTTTGGCTGAGCCGAGGGTCGTCGCCGGTGAACTTTTGAACGCGAAGGTTTTTAATTTTTTAAAGTTTTTTTTTCTCATTTTCTTTTCATAATTTCTGATTTTTAACGGAAAGCTCCCATCCAACTATCAAGGCAGTTATAGCAAAAAAAAGAGTCAAAATTAATTGAAAAACGCGAAAAAAAAAGAAAAAAAATGCGCGTGTGTGGACTGCGGATCGGCTGCAAACACAGTACGCTAAGCAGCACAAAAGTCTTCCACTCAAGGCCTTTTTCTCCTTTTAGTTTACACCTTGATGCCGTGTTCAATTCGATTCCGCGAAATTCAAAATACCCGTTAGAGAAAGGAAAATATAAATAAAAATTTTGGAGAGTCAGAAATCATTTTGCATTTCGCGGAATCAAATTGAACACGGCATGAAAGTTTTCAATTTTAGGCTTACCTTTCATGTTTTGAAGGTTCTACTGGACTCCTCGGATCCGGATACAATTATCAACTCGTTTACAGCAGAAGTCAAAGGTGTGGGCCGAACCGGCTGGGTAAATATACACACAGACAAGATATTCGAGACTGAAAAGGTAAATTTTTTTTTTCCTAAACTTTTTCAAGTCTTTTTAGGCTTACATCGACACTGTTGTACCATTATGCGAGCCTGGAACCGCTATCGGTGTCGGCAAACATCAGTTTCCATTCCAGGTTATTAAAAGAGTTTAAATTCGTAGTTTTTATTAATTTTTTTAGGTGAGAATTCCGGCCAACTCTCCGAGCAGCTATGAAAGCCAGTTTGGCAGTATACGTTATCAGATGAAAGTTGAATTGAACGCCAATACTGAGCAGGTTTATCCAGAAAATACTCCGAATGAAAATTATTGTTAAGGCAACGTGCTCCGAAGTTTTCCCAATTGTAGTTTTGACTCGGTCGTTTTTTGACGATATCCCAGCCAACGTATTGTCGCCGATTGATTTCAAAGATGAAGTGAAGAACTTATTTCTTTATTATAATTGAATTTTAGAAATTTAGGTTGATTTCACATGTTGTACTTTGCCGTTTGGTTGCGTTTCACTGGTCGTTTCATTACCTAGGACAGCGTATCGGATAGGAGAAGTTAGTTTTTTTTTTTCGAACAGCTGAATAAGAAAGGCATTGAGGTGATAGAAGCACAAGTGACGATAAATAATCGGACCCGAAAAGGGCTGAAAGAAGTCGCCTTGCAACTTGTGATGAAATCGCAGTTTGAAGCAAAGGAGCAGGTTGTTTTTTTGAAAGTTAAATTTAGTGATAATAATTTTATCACTAGTTTTTTTTTTAAAATGAAACATTGACAATTCCAGATACGAACACGTCAATGAGAAAAAGCTCACGGAGCAGTTAATTGAACTTGTTGCTTTGGGAGCCGTCAGGTCTAGGTGTAGAATGGTTAGTGTTTTCTGAAACTTGCACAAGACTTCCTCAATTTTTCAGGAGTTTGAAAAATGCCACATTCGGATACCAGACGCCGTTCCGCCAACACAGAACTACAATAAGGGCGGTGGCGACACGGCCATTATCGCCATTCATTACGTTTTGAAAATGACGGCGTTACCTGGTTAGTAAGTTTAACAACTGATCGCACATAATTGAAAATTCACTGTTAAGAAGAAAACTGTAAAGAAAGAGGAAAGTTTTGAAAATATCCGCATCGTAAATTCTTTTGCAACTTCCACTCTTTCACTACACAGCTTTTTGAAAGAAAGTTTTCGTTTTATTGATTACTTAGGATAAAAATTTCACTAACCTTTTTTTCTCTTTTTTTTCACGCATGGTATCCATTGACAACAGTTAGCGAAGTCTAGAACGAATGATAGCGGTCTATTTTTGCTTAGATTGATCTTGAAAGTTTTTTTTTTCATTGGTATCATACATGAGCAGACCATTTTATGAAGCCGCCGACTTCTCCTCCCAAGTTTTCCTTGATAAATGTTACAAGTACCTCCCTGAGACTAAGATTTGTATGCTATTGTTGCCAAAACTACCTTCCTAGGGTTGAAACTTGATTTTATTCAAAATTTTCCGAGTTTTTTGTAAGCTTACCTTTCTCCCGGGCTGAATGAGCTCGCCAATTGCTCACCTATGTACTTCTCTAAGGTTTCCATTAAAATCTATCAAAATCATCTCCTGACGAGATAGTAAATTGATTTTATTCCTTTTTTTTGAAAATTATCAAGTTAAAACCTCCTCCCAGACTTATTGAGCTCATCACTTGCCCATAAATGATCAGGATTGCTTGGTGATGCTCTTTAAAAGATTCGAAGCATAAAAAACCGGTTTCCCTTTATTTCCGTTCATTCTTTTTTTCTCTGAACCAATGAATTTTTTTCAAGGAATCGAGTGTGAGATTCCGTTGATGATTACGAGCGCCGGGTACATGGATCCGAACAAGCAGGCCGCATTTCAAATGCACATTCAAAGAGGCAAAAACGCCAGTTCCAACGTCCCCCGGAACACGAAAAATATCGTGGAAGGGAGCAATTATCGATGAACTGTGTGCGAATTTTTTTTTTCTGTACATATCTATAAAATATGTTCATTCTAAGGAGTGTACAGTTACAGTTCGAAATTTTCAGGTTAAAAAGAAGAATTAAATATTGGATTATGAGTGAATTTGATAAAAAAATATTATCGGTTAAAAGCAGGAGTTTCAGCGAAATTGATCGTGTTCAAAAACTCTCTCATGTTTCTCTTATATCTTCAACTTAACTTTTTGAAAGAGATACTGTTAAAATGTGAAATTTATGGTTTTTCTGATTAAATCAGACTTCTTTAGAATGGTATCTTTTCTGAATTTTTTAGCGAGAAAAGGCCAATAAGACACATGGTTAAGCTCTCAGTCGACATTTTCTTCATATTTAAGTTGGAGAACCCAACAAGCTTCCTCCTTCTGGCATTCGCAATTTTCGACCCTTTTTTCTGAATTTCCATTGTGGCTCTCCTTCTGGTCAGGTATCTCAACGGGTGTACTTCTATTGAATCCGTTTCTTAGGCTGTTTGATCATCAGTTGTGATAAACGCAAAAAAATGGCGCAAGAAGAAATATGAAGACCTAGATGGGTTTATTTCGTAAATCGGAGACCCAACCGCGCTAATACGGTGCCTCAGTTGTGCCGAATTTGCCAAGAGTTTGACCAGCTGTGCTAATACGTAGAAAACCCGCTTAGACCCCCGTCTCAGCACGACTTTCACCCTCATCAGCAAGAGAGTTTGACTTGCGTTTTTAAAAAAAATTCAGTATTTCCTTTTTTCAACGTGAATGTTCTGACTAGATTATGGTCTCCCCTGACTCCGAGCGCGGACATACATGCACTGGGAAAATTTCGACGACCTTTTTTTGGCTGCCTGAGGGGTTTAGCAGAGTTTAATTTTTTATTTCGAGAACTCCCATGCCAGTCAAACCCACATAGTCTCAATTCTCAACTAAATTTTCAGGGGAGACCATACTCTAGTTTGCTTGAAAAACCTTTCTTCTAGCTTCAATCTACGGATATTTTCAATGCTTTCTTTCTATTTTTCCGAGATTTAATGCTCGCTTTATTCCGTGAAACAACGGAGTTACGTATGTAACAAACAATGTCTGAATAGACAAATGCTGTAGTGACAATCACTCTGTTTTGTGCAACGGGAAACTGAAAAAGCAGTATTAATTACACACAGATTGTTTTAACAACTCACGCATGGTCATCACACAGGGGACGAGGACGAGAACCAGGAAAATCTGCAATATAGTTTTGATTTGAATAAATTGACAAAAGTTGTACCTTGTTGAGCATCGCGGTGGTTGAAGTGCTTTTTTTGTTTTTTTCAATGCCTTTTATTCAGTTTTTTTAATCGGGGATTGAGAACGAGGACGAAAAGATCATGGGAGCGTTGAAAAGGATGGGAGACTGTCTAGGAAAATTTTAGATCTTTTTCAAAGCTCGTTTGTTTATACCAAAGGCTTGGGAAGGCACCTCATGGCGGCCAAGCCATTTAGCCAGAAATGTGCCACGAAACAGGTTCGGAGCTGATTTTTCCAGTCGACTCGAATTTCTCAAGAGTTTTTGTAAAGGAATGGCTATTTAGAAATTTCAAAAACGAAGCCTCCTTCTTCATGTTAGCTCGGTTTACAAAGCTAAAAACTTTCGATTCTTTCAATCCTCATTATACAATGGTTAATTTTCACGGTTCCCATATTTTTTTCTTTGTAACACTAGTTTGCATCCATTTCAATGAAACGTTTATTTAACAGTCAGTAACAAATCAGCCTGTAATATGCGCACATTTACCCTCGACACAAAGCTGAGGATAGGCGCATTCTCGACTCCTTTTGCATGGCTCGCCTTGCTTCACGAAGGCGCATATAATAAGAAAAAGAAGCAAGAATAACTGCAAATTACTAGATTATTGAGAAAAATCCAGAAAAAAACAACCTTGGAGAGCATCAGCGAATCTGTATGAATGGGAGCGTTCGGGACTTTTTTATACAGTTTTTTTAAATTGAAGTTTGAGAACGAAGAAAAAGATCATGGGACTGTTGTCTTCCGAAATTTTCGATGATTCAAAGTTGTGAATGGAATGGAAAGTCCTATTTCTGCATTTTTCAATCTGTATCACTTTGATTTTGCGACTTTCTGAATGAATATTTTTATTCAAGGAGCAGAAACGAATTTCAAAGCCCAAAGATTGGCAAACACTTTCCACGGGAACAAGTCAGGTAGAAACCACAATCATGATTCGAATTGCATTGCTCCTTCATGACGACGCAGGAGAAGAGAGCAAAGAGCAGGAAAATCTGCAATTTTACACACTACGAAAATATTCAAGAAATGGGATATCACCTGGAAGAACATCAAGACGGTTGGTGGGCGACTGCGCCTTTTCTTGAAGTTTGCGCTTTTATTTATTCATTTATAATCAGGTCTTGGGAGCAGAAAAAAAGAGGACGGGAATATTTTCGAGAGTTTTTTACTTGAAAACGCCGTGGAAAAAAAAATCGAGTTGACTTTATTGGGAAACTTCAACAGTATTGGGAAACTTCTGTGGAAGTATTTTCTGAACTATGAAATTTTTTTGAAAGAAGAAAGATGGAATCTATTTTACTCAAACGCCTTTGTCGTTCTCTCGTTTTCTTTCGTTCACTTTTTGGAATCAGCTTTTGTTAACGGAACGAATCGGACTTTAATCATATTTCGGGAGCGCAGAGGAATTTTTAAGTGTTAATCGGAACCAAGGAGAGAATTGTATAAAATAGAAATCACAGATCTGAGCCTAACCTCTGTGTTGACTTTTCAGCAACAGTATCCGGAAACTTCTGAGCAACAATACAAAAGTTAGGTAACGTACTTGAAAAAGCGCTAAGCGTCGCGAGGTATCGAGGCCCTTACAAAAAAGGTCATGATAATTTGCATTTGGAAGTTCCCTGAAAATTGGCCAGAACACTCCTTGATTATTCTGAAATTTTAAGCTGCAAAGCTTTCTAGTTTTGAAGAAGGGACAACCCAGAGTCGAAGCTCATAGAAATCTGTTTAACTAGGCTATTTAAGGCTCCGAGCCCTTATTTCTTGAAAACTATGAAGTCGTTAACTTCCACAATCTTTGAATTAACGTGAATATTATATTCTCCCACACACACACTCTCGAACCTGCTTTAGGCATGTAATTGAAAATAAATCAATGAAATTGTTCGAACATTAACTTCTTACGTCAGGTAATCGTCCGATCAACAAACTTTATTCAACAAGAGAATAGGATTAAGTTATAGTGGGACGGCAGAATCCTTCTCTCGGGTCGCAGTATTCGAAAAAGCGGCAGTGTTGTTGAAGCACACACCGCGTCAAGCCTTCAAAAATATTATAAACGGTTGATCTTTGAAGAAAATGTCATTTTTTTGAGTATGAGAATTTGAGCGAATTTTAATATGTTTTGAAAAGACAATTTAAAAAAAAATAAAGATCATAACAATGAAAACTCACACATGACGACGCATGGAACAAAAATGAGTATTAGTAGAACCTGGAACTCCCTTTCATTTTCTTGTAACTTTTTTTTCAAAATGAATACCTTGTGGTGGTGGATCATCATTGTTGAATAATGGAATTCAAGTTATCAAAGCGCTCAGTTGTTTTTCTGATTTAATTTTCAATGATTTAACATGTTTCGTTGAAATTTTAGTTTCTCATAGAATTGTTAGATGTTAACAACTTCTTGGGAAAACCCGCTTTTGTGTGAATCCCTATTTTTGAAGAGAGAAACAATTAGAAGCAGTTTAACAAAAAATAAAAAAATAAATTAAAATTGGAGCCCTTTATTGAGGAATTCTTCATAAATCTGCAGTTCCGTTATGTGCTATTTAATTCTTAAAAAGTTTGCTGACGACCTTTTCAATAGGTCGAATTCATAATTTTCAGTGTCTGCCACTCTTTTAGTAGCGGGAAAAAAGAAGATTTTATAAACTACTGGATGCATCTTTAAAACGACTCTTAGATCTCGCAATCTATCGGTTTTGTCTTGATAAATATTTTTGAAAATTAAAAAAAAAAACTCGATTTTCGGAGTGAAAGTGGCAGGATGACAACTTTTGCAGTTGGAAGTTTTAAAAATGGAGAAGTCCTTATGAACTCAAGAAAATTTTTAATCATTAATGTTTCATTTTGTCTCAAAAAGGGTCACTAGGGCGAACGCTCTGAAAAGAAAGATTTAGAAAAAGTAACTCAAAATTATTTGATGAGTCTTTGCAAAAATAACAATAAGAAGCATAGTTCTGGCGAGATTGAAAAGATCTTGATGGTTCAACATTCTAGCGGAACGCACTTGAACTTCGGTCTCAGATAAAAGATGGGAAGATTTGCTTCCGGTTGCTGGGAAGGTGTTTGGAAGCTTTTTAGCAATTGATCGAACGGCTTCCATATAGCTTCCTAACATGTTATACTTGAAAAAGCCTGCCGGAAACATTCCAACAGGCTTCTGGAAGGCTTCTGGCAGGCATTTTCCATTTTCCCCTTCTCAATACCTTCCATCTACTTTTCGAACACCTTACAAAGGCTTTCTCGAGACCTTCCAAATTCCATAATCCTTACAAAATCCTGCTGGTTCAAAAACAGGCTTCTGGAATCCTGCTGGTCTACAACAGGCTTCGGGAACGCTTCTTTCAGGAATTTCCCATTTTCACCTTCTAAATACCTTCTACTACCTTCCCAACACCTTTCCAGGATTGGCTTGAGGTTAAAAATCTTTCAGCTAAATTAGGAAATAAAACAGCTGCCATCCGCCAACGCATAACCTTTATGTTTTCATTTCTTGACTCGAGCCATTTTCTCATAACATTCCATCATAAATGCGTTTATCATTTTCAGGTTTATTTTCACTGACCTAGCATGACTACTTCTCCATTAAACTATCCTCCTTGTGAGAAAGAGACCGACTTTCTCAACGAACACCTCTTCAGGAGTATTGAATCTATTATGTTTCCATTTGTAATGATTATCAATGTAGCCGCCTTCTGTAGTATTCTATTCCTATCGCCCAAAACGATGAAAAACTACAAATGGCTGCTCCTCAACTATCAATCAAGGTTGAAAAAAAGGAACCTTTGTTAAATTATATCTAGGATTTTTAAGCATCATGATTATGGATTTTCTGTGGATGGTGTTTCTGACTCCGTACTTTTACCTTCCTGTAATGGGTGGCTGCTCCGTCGGTTGGTTTCAAACAATCGGAATTCCGATTGAGGTTCAAATATCCATTGGGTCCGTTTCATGTACAAGTTGGTCATTGATAAGAAATCAGCTGATTTATCATTTTTTTTTCAAGACGTCGAGTCAGCCATTTTGGCTCTGTTTGAATACCGCCATCATAATGTTCTTCCGGCCAAAAATGCCTTCCGATTCAGTACAAAGCATCGGGTTGTCTTTCTGATCAGCCACTATATTATCTCCTCTTCTGCCCTTATTATCCTTGTGGTAATAGCGCCTTCTGATCAATATGCGGCCAAAATCAAAGGGATAGAAGTTGAACATCTTTTTCGAGCAGTACTATACTTTCATTTTAGCTTCTCCAATGCGTACCCAAAAAAATATTCACGTCTTGCGCTTTTGTTCTCGACTCGACGGCAAAGCTGGAGATATTCCTAGCCTTCCAGGCCGTTTCTCTTCCCGGCTTGTACGGGTTTTTTTGTTTTCATGGACTTTATATACTGAACAAGCAGAACACCCATATGTCGGCCAAAACCAAGCAGCTTCAGAAATTTTATTTCTACAATTTGTGTGGACAGGTCAGAACAATTTATGGAGATTTTATCGACCAAACTCTTTTTTTAGGTTAGTATTCCTATGGTTTTCATATGTCTGCCCATTGGCGCAAGCGCTTTCCTCGGTAGAACTGGCAGCTCTTCTCAAGGTTTTTTGAGCATTTGAAACTTTTTGAAAACTAGACATTTTTCAGTATTTCCTCTTCTCATCGTTATTTTCGCTACTGTCCATGGCGGAATTTCCTCTATTTTCACGATTGTATCTAACAAACATTATCGTAACTTTTTTTGGAGGCTACGGCTTGGGTCTTTGAAACAACTTTTCCCCAAGAAAAGTTTGTTGGCGGGCCTGTCAATTGAAGATATATTCATTTTAGATACTCCTATTGTTTCCGTAGCTGGGATTGAGCAGATATCGCCACCTCGTAGAGGAACCCTTAACACGAGAGATAGGAACCTGCTGTAATCATATCTCTTTTTTTCATGTCGTTCTCACCAATTACGTATTCAATGAGAGCCCAATTTGAAGTGGTAAAAGATATTCTCAAACATGCTGTCCACATATTTTCATCTGAGGAGTCTTGTTGGAAGAAGTTGGTTTTTTTAGATGCAGAAGAATCCATACGAAAGTTTAATGGGTTCATTCAACTTTATCGGTATTTTTAAGCACCATTAAAGTCAGAACACCTGTCACCAGCTAACCTTTCAGCAATTTTTCACACTTACTGAGTTCTTTGAGTATCATTAGCTTTTCTACAGTTCTGTGCACACGACGTTAGTGGAAGAAAATGCGAAACCGAAAATGAAAAAGGGACAGATCGGTTAGAAAACGCGATTCTCGAGAGTTGACGGAAAGCCGATAGGATAAAATCGGTGAGGATACGGTGTTCGACATTTAAACCCGCGGACTGTCCGTTTTGTTTTCCGCGGGAAGGCCCGCCAGCATGAGTTCATTCAAAACGGCCAGAAAGCAACGCAAGTACCATTATCCAATTTTTTATGGTGTCAGAAGCGGGGAAACATCTACTCAGGCGAATCCTGAGAAGCCAACCAGCAGTGTATGGAAGCTAAAAGGTCTTGGGAAGTCTTTGGACAGTGCTCGAAAGGTATTTGGAAGGTAAAAATGGAAAATGTCTGCCAGAAACCTGCTGAAACGCTTTTGGATGGCTTCCGGCAGGTTATCTTCTTAAGTAGAAGTTGTTGGGAAGCTATGTGGAAGGCGTTCGACCACTTGCCGGAAAGCTTTCAAACGCCTTCGTAGACACCGAAAGCAGAAGCTTCCAAACTTCTACCTGAGTAGTAAGAAAGTACCAGAAGTTTTTTCGCCAAACAGACAGGATGTTTGTTCTCGAATTTGAAGTCTGCTTACTTCAACGCTCTTCACACTGAATTCAGAGAAGTTGAAGTGAGAACACCTGCCATTTCCCATGTTGGCCTATCATACATTTCTTTTAAAGCATTTTACGCGTAATCCGCAGATTTCAGCCTCCGTTATCTTCAATTTTCTGCGCCTTGGAAGAGTTCGAGAATGGCTCAAATTGCTGCAGTTTAATTATTTATACAGTCGACTTTTTTTTTGTTGATTTCGAGTTTTTTCGTTCGGCTGTTTTTTTTACTAATTGTTCATTTACACACCTATTTTTTCAAAATAATTATGTTTTTGACTTTGCAAATTTAATTATGACTTTGCAAATTTAGAATAATTTATAGTTATTCTGAAGAAAACTGGAAATTTTTTTTTTTGAAGAAAGACTGTTTCGTCCTTTTCTTTGAGGCTTTCTCTTGGAAAGATTCAAAGAAAAGCAGTTGAAATCTTTTTTTCGTTTCGCTTGATTTTTTTTTACCCGAAAACATCTACTGGACGAGGGTTTCATCTGTCAGAAATTTTAATTTCAGGTCAATTTATGACTTCCTTACATCTGGAATATCCTCCTTGTGAGAAAGAAACCGACTTTCTCAACGAAAAAAACTTCAGGAGTTTCGAAACAATAGTTTTTCCAATTGTAATGATTCCTAACATTGCTGCGTTTTGTAGTATCTTGTTCCTGTCGCCCAAAGTTATGAAACACTATAAATGGCTGCTGCTCAACTATCAAGCATGGTAAAAAAAGAAAGTTTTTTTGAATTAAAAGTTTTTTTTATAGTGTAATGGTTATGGACATTTTATGGCCAGTAATGTTAACGCCCTACTTCTATATTCCTGTTATGGGTGGATGCTCTATCGGTTGGTTTCAAACGATGGGAATGCGGATCGAGGTCCAAATATCCATTGGATGTATGTCATTCACAAGTTGGTCCTTGATGTAATCAGTCGATTTTTAACTTTTCTTCAAGGCGTTCAATCGGCGATTTTGGCTCTTTTTGAATACCGTCATCATAATGTTCTGCCGGCCAAAAGCAGCCTTCGATTCAAAACGAAATTCCGTGCGATTTTTTTGATCAATCACTATATATTCTTCACCTCCGGTGTTGTTATGGTCGTAGTGATTGCGCCATCCGACCAATACGAGGCAAAATTGAACGGCATCGAAGTTTAACAACATGTTCTAGCCGTTCTGATTCCTATTCTATTTTCAGCTTCTTCAATGCATACCCAACAAAATATTCACGTCTTGTGCATTCGTTCTCGATTCAACAATCAAGTTGAAAGTTTTTCTGTTGATACAGGCGGTCACTCTCTTTGGCTTATACGGGTTTCTCTGTTCCCATGGACTTTATATACTGAATAAGCAGAATACTCATATGTCGGCCAAAACTAAGCAGCTTCAAAAGTTCTATTTCTACAACTGTGTGGTCAGGTAAGAAAAAGCCCAAAGGGAAATTTTTTCCGAAGATTTTACTTACGTGTTACGTGAAGGTACTGAAGTCCCAGCTCTTGAAATTTTTCACTTCATCTAGAAGGAAATTTCAAAATATTGTAAAATCTGCCCTTCTCAGATTTCGAGCCCTACTCACAAAAATCCTTTTTTGAAAGTAGGGGATTTCGTAATATTTATCCAGTAGATCAGGGAGCATTCCGGGAATATATAGTCTGTGTGCCACGGCTTGAAATTTCACGGAACGACATTCCGCTGTACCGCTGCTTGCGTTCGCGAGGCGTCTTTCGAATCTAGGTCACGCTGTCAATTGATTTTTATTGCTGTGGGATCACATGAAAGTAGAGTACTTTATTAAATTTTAAAAAAGTTAGAAGCGCGACCAAGATTTTTAAAGACCGGCAGAGGCACACCGGAATGTCGTTTGGTGAAATTCCAAGTCGTGGTACACAGGCTATATCATGGTAAATTCAGAACCTTTTAAAATGAAGCCTTTGTTAAACGAGAAAAAAAAAAGCTTTACAGCCTATAAATTATAGGTGAGTATTCCTATAGTTTTCATTTGTATTCCAATTTTTATGGCCGCTTTTGTAGGTAAGACGGTCAGCTCGCCACAAGGTTCTTTTTCACATTTTTGAATCAATTAGCATTCTTTTCTTCAGTATTCCCTCTGATAATTGTCATGCTGGTATCGATCCACGGCGGTATCTCTTCCATTTTCACGATTTTATCCAACAAACATTATCGTGAATTCTTCTGGAGATTGCGATTTGGCTCTTTCCAAAAACTGTTCACTACGAAAAGTTTGCTTTACTTGGCTTATCACTCGACAAAGTTCTTTATTTTTTAGATACTCCTATTGTGTCAGTAGCCGGTAACGAGAATAATTTGGCTGCTCATAGAGGAACCCTTAGACCTTATGCAAAATAGCGAAACTTCGTTAATCTCATTTATCACCTTCTTCGGTTCGGCCTTATTGGGTTCTGGGATTTTCTACCTGGTCATTTTCATAGAATAAAGATCTTGGTAATCAATAAAGTTTTTTTTTCAATTTTTTGCTACGGATAACGTGTAGAAAAGTTTGAGTTTCGTCAAGTTTGGCTTTTTTTCTTGTTCTTTGGTTATCCTCATTGCAGATTAAAACGCTTTAGATCACTATGAACAAATAAATTTTTTGCGTTGATTTTCGCTTCTGACTTTCCATTTCAGCTTACTAGGTAAAACCACCTGATCCTTGAAAACATGATTGAAACTCCAAAACTCATGTAACTGAAGATATTTTCCTCGATATTTTTTTTCTGTCGAATTTGAGGTTTTGTTGAGCAATTTTTGAAGTTACCTAACATTGAAAAGTGGAATTATTTCCAATTCAAGGGGTTTGGCGATTGCGAGCGGTTACTTCAAAACGCGCCTGACTTGAAACGACTTGCGCGATGTTTCATTACACTCTACATTTGAAAAAAATCTAGCTTTCGTGCGCAAAACTAACGGGACACTTCGATTTGTTTCAACTGTCTCTCAATTACTTGATCAATGTATTGCATTTCAAAACATCTGTCCTTTGCTCCAAAAGGACTACAAGGAACATTAGTTTCTTCTCAAACATGTTACTTTTTCGTCTACTCGGATTTGCTTGAACAACCTTTTTTCGTTAGTTCATTTGAGCCTTTCGTAATTTAATAAAAATAAGTTTGAAGAAATCTGTTTTAGGTAGGAGAACCATGGTTATCACACCCTTGGACTATCCTCCCTGTGAGAAAGAAACCGACTTTCTCAACGAACGCAGCTTCAGGAATTTTGAAACATTTCTTTTCCCATTCGTGATGATGCTTAATGTCGCCGCATTCTGTAGTATCCTATTCTTGTCCCCAAAGGCTATGAAAAACTATAAATGGCTGCTTCTCAACTATCAAGCATGGTACGAATCGGGATTTTACCATGAAAGAAAGCTCTTTTTTCAGTGTCATGATGATGGATATCATATGGCCTTTGATGGTGACACCCTATTTATACCTTCCTGTAATGGGCGGTTGCTCTATCGGCTGGTTCCAAACCATTGGAATCCCCATAGACATTCAATTTGCTATTGGATGTATGTCTTTCACAAGTGAGTCACAGAAATCAGTTCATCCACTTTTTTGTAAGGTGTCCAATCAGCAGTTCTGGTGCTCTTTGAATACCGCCATCACAATGTGTTGCCGGCGAAAAGCGCACTTCGGTTCAAAACAAAGTTTCGCGTCATATTTTTGATAGCTCAATATATATTCTTTTGTGCCTGTGTTATTGTTCCTGTCATGATAGAACCAGTCGATCAGTATGCTTCCAAAATTGAAGCAATCGAGGTTGAACAACTACTTTGAGCAGTTATATTCTTCTATTTTTAGTTTCTCGAATGCGTACCAAGTCATATATTCATGTCCTGCGCGTTCGTGTTCAGTTCTAAATCGAGGATCAGAGCGCTTATTGTCTTCCAGGCAATCTCACTTTTCGGCTTGTACGGGTTTTTATGCCTCCATGGCCTCTACATATTGAATAAACAAAATGGTCACATGTCGATGAAAACTAAAAATCTCCAGAAGTTTTATTTCTACAATTTGTGCGCACAGGTCAGAGCTCTCAATAATATCTCCGGGTTTCAAAATTTTCCAATATAATCTTTTTTCCTATTCCATCTACTGGGAGTTTTCTGAAACCCTGTAGATATCAAGGCCGCACAGTGAAGTGTATTTCTCGACAAAAAAAAACCGTTGTGAGGAGTTTCTAGTAGACATCCGGAATTACCTCTTCAAAGTCTTTTAGGACATTTTGTTTCCAAAATCGCGTTTTTTGTACTGATCGTTATAGTAAATTTTTCCCGACTTGGAAGGCGAGGGAGGCGGGGCAGGGGCGGGACGCGTAGCGTGTGCGTACGCGGTTTTTGGCGCACGTTCAATTCAATTGTCGCCGTCTATTTTAAAAGCTCGGCGACCGCTCTTTTTCTATATGTTCTACTATTTCTTGATGCACACATGAACATAATCAATAAATACAATACAATACAATACAATATTTATTGGTTGTTTTAGTCAGATGGAATCGACTAGGCGGTGATAAAATTGCTCTTTTGAGCGGCACTAACACCGCTTTTGGCGAAAAAGAAGTCAAACCGTCTAGTCGATTGAATTAAAAGCATGGTCTTACGGTCCTTCGCCTCGTTCTTCCACAAGTTGATCCCTCAGTTTCGCTTGTACGGGCACGGCGGTGATGGTGGGGCTCGGGCACGGACACCGTGTACACTCTAGGGTAGCCTCGGCCGACTGAGAGAGCTACCACTTCGAGTGAAGAAAATACACGGAAATACACGGAAATAATTGAAAAAGAAATGGTAAGAGCGAAAAACGGGTTTTCCAAATAGTCGCTGGCAGTTCAACAAAACTGGCGCCAAGAACCGCGTACGCGCACGCTACGCATCCCACCCCTCGCCCCACCTCCCCCGCCTTTCAAGTCGGGAAAAATGGACTACATAATCCTAAAAAACTTTTAAGGTCAGCATCCCGATGCTTTTCATCTGTGTGCCACTTGCTACGGCAGTCCTCCTCGAAAAGAACGAGAGCTCTCCCCAAAGTAGTTTCTATGAAACTTTCTTTTTCTCGTATTCTATTTTCCAAATTCAGCCGTCCCACTGTTGATCGTTATATTTGTGTCGATCCACGGCGCAATCTCTTCGATTTTCACCATTTTATCCAACAGACACTATCGTAGCTACTTTTTGAGACTACCCTTCGGATCAATGAAAAAGCTTCTTCCCAGAAAAAGTTTGATATCGTAAATTTCAATTGATGGAATTACTTTTCAGAAAATATTGTCGTTTCAGTATCTGGTCTGGAGCCTCATTTGCCGGCACCCAGAGGAAGCCTGAGACGTTGAGCTAGAAACAGAAATTGGAAAAAAAAATTATTTTCTTATGAGATCGTCGGGCTCACTACGTCATTTTAGCATTAGAGAAAATCACCTGTTTATTGAATGTATAAAGTTTCAGTTTTTCTCAGCCGGGTTACGAATTTCTTTCAATTTCAAAAAGTCTTTTTTTTTCGAATTTATCTCACTTGGAGATAGACGAGTTCAACTTTTTCACACTTACTTAGATACTTAGATGGTCCATCTTCGCTTACGACCTTTTATTGCCTTTTATTGTTTTTTATTGATCGAAGCGTGGACCACACGTTTTCTAGGAGGTCTTATGCAATCGGTCATCCAGTATTGTCGTCCTGGTTGACCGGTGTTCTTGCGAAAAAGTTCCATCCATGGTGTTGAACGTGTTATAGCATAATTGTGGTCTGATTATCTTTTTTTGCCTTGCCAGGGCTGAAAAAGACCGCCCATTCTGTTAGCAGAAGCAAGCCGAACTGTGTGACCGGTGTACCGTTAGCCGCCATAAATGGCGTTGCCTCCCCATCACCGCGTAGAGGTGGTACTTGAAGGGGAATTTCAACTTTTTCACAACCACTAATAAATAAAAATTTTTATTTATTCTCGTTTGGATTTGTGTTTTCCCCTATGAAGCTGCGTCTGGCGTTTTTCGACGAGCGAGTATCCGAGTCTATGAAATCTTTTTTCAGGGCTAATTTTTGAAAGCATCCTACATTATGAACGTCTCCTCATTGAATTACCCCCTCTGCGAGAAAGACTCTGATTTTCTCAACGAACACAAGTTCAGGACTATTGAATCTATTGTTTTTCCCATCGTAACGATCCTTAACTCTGCCGCATTCTTTAGTATTTTATTCCGTTCGCCTAAAACCATGAAACGCTACAAATGGCTACTTTTGAACTATCAAGCGTGGTAAGGACGAGGTCTTTTGGGTACTGACAAATTTTAAGCGTTATGATCATGGATATTCTGTTCATGGTAATGCTGACACCGTACTTTTACCTTCCTGTCATGGGAGGTTGCTCTATTGGCTGGTTCCAAGCGATAGGAATCCCGGTTCATATTCAGACTGCAATCGGATTCGTTTCTTTAGCTAGTGCGTCACTCTGAAGAAAATTGAATCTCCACTTTTTTAAGCCGTGACATCTGCGATTTTGGCATTATTTGAGTACCGCCACCACAATGTTCTGCCTACTAAAAGTGCCCTTCGATTCAGTACAAAGTCTCGTGTTACATTTTTAATTGGTTAATTTGTATTGATTTCTGCTGGCCTTATTTTCCTCGTATCACTGACTTCTTCCGATCAAAATGCTGCCAAGTTGGAAGCCATAGAGGTTAAATCTATAAAACTACGATATTCCTTTTCGAATTTTTTTCAGCTTCTTCAGTGTATTCCGAACAAAATATTCACGTCTTGCGCATTTGTCCTCGATTCCACTTTCAAGGTTGAGGCGTTTATTGCATTTCTGGCCACGAAACACACTGTATTTTACGGTTTCTACTGTTCGCATGGAATTTATTTATTAAATAAGCAGAACAGTCATATGTCGGTCAAAACCAGGAATCTTCAGAAGTTTTACTTCTACAATCTCTGCGGTCAGGTAGGAGAAAGATTTTTTTGTTTTTGTATATTTTTAAGAGTTAAAAAATAAATTTAGCGCAGGAAAACTTCTAGTCTGGCATTGATATTCAAAGGGAAAGTTCTGAAAAGTCACTTTGAGAAAGACTCTGTAATCGTCTGATGTTCTTTAAAGTTGTTAGAAGATTTTTTAATTCATAGCCGATCCACAGCTAACTCTGAGGGGCGTGGCGTAATTGCGCCCTCCACCAAACAAGCACGGACCTTTTTTCGATGGCTCAAGCTAGCAGTGAATCAGCTATAACATGAATTCTCATTTTGAAAAGTTGCTCTTCTTCAAACAAAATAAATTGTAGGTAAGCATTCCAGTAGTTTTCACATGCGTGCCACTTGCGGCGGTAGCTTTTCTCGGAAAGACTGGCAGCACTTCCCAAGGTTCTCCTTTTCTCAAAACTATCTTTCACTTATCGGTTTTCCAGTATTTTCCCTGTTAGTTATCATTATGTGGTCGGTCCACGGCGGTATCTCTTCCATTTTCACGATTTTAGTGCAGCCACTGATGAAAGTGTCCGGGACCACTTGGTGGGCCGTGTGGCGTCGTTTTTGTTCTTTCTGTTGTTCAGTGTCGTGTACAAGGAACCAATAAAAATTTTACTTTATTCACAAGAAAGTCTATTTGGCGTGGTGACGGTTGGAATCGCACTTAAAAGGGACGATAAGGGCCCTCTCCTGGAGGCACCCATAATGATAAACTTTCCGACAGCACGAGATGTAACTCGCTGCCGCGTATCCAGGGCAGCCTTCAATGGTGCAAACCCACTTTTTGCACAAACTTCCCGTCCTGTACACCTTGGGAAACTTTGCGCGCTCTGCCGCATCCGGCTGAAAAAATGAGGATATTCTCATTTTTTTTCTAATTTTTTTTATTTATTATCAAAGCTCCTCAAAAAAACTTGTGATAAAAAGTTTATTAGCGCAATTGTGCTTCAAAAATCAAAAATTTCAATTTCCAGTTAATTTTTTTTACGAACCATCCAAGATTCATCAGCGGCGTCCTGTTTAGCCGCGTTCTCCTCGACCATCTTCTCGCCGAGCTCTTTTTCGTTGGGGATCTGTAAAATCTCCATCTGTGCCAGAATCTTCAAATCTCAATTTTCTTCGGCAAATTTCCAAAAATTTCAACTGAGTTTGGACACTTTCACAGGTTTAAAAGTTCCCGTTAAGGAAGTAAAAAAAAGCCAACCGGACTTTGGTCGGGAGCTCTTTCCGGAGTTTTCTTCGGGGAGGAGAAGACTTTTCTCCAAGGAATACGCCTCGAAGGCGACTGGGCGGCCCTCGACTGCGAGTTCGCAGGCGCCTAAAGCGAAAAAATTGAAATTTTGTCAAATTCTGTTCTTCCCGTTTAATTTTTGGTTTTTTGTTTTCTTTCTTTGTGCCAGAATCTTCAAATCTCAATTTTCTTCGGCAAATTTCCAAAAATTTCAACTGAGTTTGGACACTTTCAAAGGTTTGAAAGTTCCCGTTAAGGAAGTAAAAAAAAAACCAACCGGACTTCGGTCGGTTCCGGACCCTCTTTTCGGAGAAGGAGGAACTTTTCGACGAGGAGTTCGCCTCGACGGCGACTGGGCGGCCCTCGAGTGCGAGATCGCAGGCGGCTAAAGCGAAAAAATTGAAATTTTGTCAAATTCTGTTCTTCCCGTTTAATTTTTGGTTTTTTGTTTTCTTTCTTTGTGCCAGAATCTTCAAATCTCAATTTTCTTTTTTAAAAAAAACCCCACGCTTTTCACCTCGGTGGTTTCGTTGTCGGACTCCTCAGACGAATCCGAGGATTCCATTCCGGTGGCGTTCTCGTTTGCCTTTGACTTCTTACTCGGAGGTTTTTTGGGAACTTTTGCCTGAAAAAATTGAAATTTCAAACAATTTCAACACTTTAACAGGTCTAAAAGTTCCGGTCTAAGTGCTCGCTCAAGGGTTCAACTACAAATCGCCCGAGTTTGCCTATTTTTCACAAGTTTCCAGTGGTTTCCTGAGGCTCAACCGTGTTTGGACAATTTCAAAAGTCTGAGTGCTCCCTTAAGAGTTTAAACCGCACCCCTGGTGCAATCCAGTGCACTAGGGTAGATGCACCCATGACACACTACACTGCACCGTACCCCAGATGCAGTTCAGTGTCTCGTGGGTGCACCTAAAATGCCCGAAAATTTCTATGTCCCGAAATTCAAAATTTTCCCCCTTAACTAAGTTGAAACTCCTACAACACCTTTCTCACAACATGAAAGATTTTTTTTCCAAACGCAACTGGGTGTTGTGAGAATTTGTCAGATTCTGTTCTTCCCGTTTAATTTTTGGTTTTTTGTTTTCTTTCTTTGTGCGAGAATCTTTAAATCTCAATTTTCTTTTTTTAAAAAAACCCCACGCTTTTCACCTCGGTGGTTTCGGTGTCGGACTCCTCAGACGAATCCGAGGATTCCATTCCGGTGGCGTTCTCGTTTGCCTTCGACTTCTTACTCGGAGGTTCTTTGGGAACGTTTGCCTTAAAAAATTGAAATTTCAAACGATTTCAACACTTTAACAGGTCTAAAAGTTCCGGTCTAAGCTCACAACATGAAAAAGTTTTTTTTCCAAACGCGGACACTTTTTTCACATTCTTCAGCAAGTGGACCAAACTGCCTGAAAATTTCTATGTCCCGAAATTCAAAATTTTCCCCCTTAACTAAGTTGAAACTCCTACAACACCTTTCTCACAACATGAAAAGGTTTTTTTTCCAAACGCAACTGGGTTTGGACAATTTCAAAGGTCGTCAGAATTCTTCCTGTTTAGTTTTCATTTCAACTTCATTAATATAAATCCCGACAAAAGCTACCTGAATTGGCACGAATTCGGCCTCTTCGGAGATCGGGTCCACCTAAAATGTGTTTTCGGTTAATTTCGTAATAAAATAAAAACTCACGATGATTTTCCCGAGTGGGACGGTTGGGAAGGAACGATGGCTTCGGACCATTAAGAAAGCGGCGATCTTTGCCAAGATTTCTTTGGCGACGTTTTGAAGGGATGTTTTGAGAATCCTGAAACATTGATAACGATATGAACATGATATGAAACAAACCCGTTCGTGCATATGACGCACTTGCTTGCGGCGAGAAGCTGCGCGATGTCTTCTGCCGGACCACCGGTGATGACGATTTCGTGGCTGAAAGTTTTTTTAAAAGAAAAACTCGAATTTCGGGAACTCCTATGTTTAGGGACCGCAGGCCAATTTCCAAAGTCAGTGATATAAAGTTGAAACCTATATGAAAAGAAAGCTGATGGCAATCGAGAGCTAACTGCGAAAACAGAAAAGAAAAATATGAAAAATTAAAAAAGTTATAAGCAAAAAAGTGGCGAAATCGGGGGAACCACTTTTGTGTAGAAACTTTCGTCAGGGTCGCAGGAAAAGGGGCGTGTTTATAGATGCCGCGCGCTCCTTGCTGCGCGTTAATTCACGCAGGAGACGTTTCGAAAAACATATTTATTTGAGTTTTTTTAGAAGTTTTTAAATGAAATATTAGAGTTTTCATATTGAATATTGCTCTTTTTCAATATCAGCCTACTCTTCAAGCACTCACGCTGCTGAAAAAGCGAGTTTTGAAGAAGGTTTCAATGCATTTCGTAAAAAAAGAAAAATAACCGACAAAATAGACCTCTGCGAAGGACGAACAGCATCAGACCGAATTGAAAAATGTAACAGTCTACTAAGAAATTTACTGAAAAAAATATGTAAATAATCACCAAGTCCTTTTTTTCAGAGAGTTTTTTTAAGGCGAAAGCGTTTTTTTACTTTTTGATTTTCTACTTCTTTTATTTTTTTTCTCTGAAGTTTGTGCGTCTACATGGAGTGTACGTAGACAATTTTTTTAGAATTCTTTACTTGACATTCTGAAAAAAATTCAAAAAAAGTTGAGTAAAAGTGAAATTTAATACTTTTTCTCGCTGCTATAATGGATATAATGATATAGGAAAAAAAGATTCCAATTATGAAATGAGTAAAAAGCAACTATAAAGCCACAATAAAATGAGAAAAACTTGAATAGAATACATAAATAATTTTAAAAAAATCTTCTTCACGCTTTCGAAAAAAATTTCGTGGCCTTCGCGGTGTCTGCAGATTTCCAGCGACGCGCAGTTTTAAAAATAACTTTCGAGCGTTTAAATTAACCATACTTTTCGGGCCATCCTAGGAATTTTTTTATTTTTTGATATGTTGTAGAGAAATGTCTAATGTTTGATATTATGAAATAAAAAAAACTTGCCCAGAACCCTTTGGGCCGTTTTCAAAGCGTTACAAAAAAACGGAAATTTTAAGCTTTCATATAAACTATATAATCGATGAAAAGCTTTAGTTTTCTATTTTTTTAAAATTTGCAAAAAAACTGCAAACAACCGTTTAAAAAAATATAATCAGTAATTATCGATTGCGTTTTTTTCGAAAAATAAGGAATTTCGAAAAATCGTGATTTTCAAATTGCGTTATTTTTTTGAGGCCAACCATAAAATTTTTTTATTTTTTTTGCCAGAATATGCGTAGTTAGTTGCCTTATGATACTCAAGAATAAAAAAAGTCGCCCAGAAACTTTCAAGAAAAAAACAGGGATTTTTTTATCCGTTTTCGGCCACAAATGCGTTTTAAAAAAACTGTCGTCGTACATTCTTATTTCTCATTTTTTTCAGTATTTTTCTTTTTATGTAGGATTGTTAAGCATAGCCGATTGTATGTTTCCCCAATTTTTTTTCTCAAATCGGTACAAGAAAAACTGTTTTAAAAATATAAAAAAAGAACCAAAATGCAACGAAAAATGACGAAGTTTTTTTTGAACAGCGAAGTGGGCGTGGCTCTGCGGTCCCTACCTATGTTTCATGTTTAATATTTGTTTTTTTGAACTCATAGCATTAAAAAAACCACAACTCGCTCATGTAAAGGCAAATAATATGATGAAAGAACTCTGAAAACTAATCCTTCTCTTTTCTTAAATCATTTGAAATAACTTGACGTGATATTAATTCATAATTTTGTTTTATTTGTGACTTACTGCAATCCGTGCTGCTTGTAGAGACATTCGCGCACCCTACGAAACTCAATGAAGATTTCGTGGACCAAAAATCCGTCAAGACCTACTTGGCTTGTATTTGGATTGGTAGGGGGAACGAGCCGACCCAAACGGATAGAACTTGACCCTGCAAAAAAATTTTTTTATTTTTTTTAAACATAAATGTTACTATACGTTGGAATGTAGGTCACGGTGAAGAAGTCCGCGGTGTTTACGGTGTTCGCCAGGTTCACACCCAAGCGGAAGAAAGCCGCCAATTGTTCGTCATAGGTCACGAACTTCTGAAATGCGAAATTTATATACTAAGATCATATGGAACCGGTCAAAAATGAGCAGACCGGAAGAAAGGTGCTATCTGGAGAATCAATTCAATGATGAAAAAAAAGAAATGTATTGACGGTTTGGAAAATCCAGGTTGGGAAAAGTATCGGCCGAAAAATGAACATTAAAAAAAATTTTTTCCTAAGGCTCAACTGGGTTTGGACAATTTCAAAGGTCTGAGTGCTCCCTTAAGGGTTTAAATTGCCAGAAGTGTCCAAGCCCACTTGAGCCTCAGGAATTGCCTAGGTTTGTCTACTTTTCACTAGTTTCAAGTGATTTCCTAAGGCTCAACTGGGTTTGGACAATTTCAAAGGTATGAGTGCTCCCTTAAGGGATTAATCGATTGCTGTGAAACGAGCGATTTTTGACTATTTTTTTATCCTTTTCTTAGAAGCGCCGGTAACACAGTGTTCCCAAACGAGCGGCAGCTGTGGTCAGTAGGCGTGGCTGACTGCAACAGCGGCACGGTTTATTGCAATAGGGGCGCGAGAATGAGAGTCAAGTTTTGTGGATTTAGTGGTTGGAAAAAGACCATTAAATGATGTTTTTCCTAGGTTCTCGCAAGTTTTCGAAGATTTTTAATGTGTATATAATTATAACGAACAAATTTAAATGAAGAAAGAGACGAAAAAGTTTTTGCAAAACAAAATATCTCCCAAAATGTCGTTTTTTAGGAAAACTCGTCAAATCGAACTTCCAAAGGGAAAAGTGAGAAAAAGCTCACAGCACTTCTCTTAAGAAATACCATTTGAACGTTTTAAAACAAAAACAGATACATAATAGCTTGTACGAATAAAGTTGTCACCCAAAATGACATTTTCAAGAATAAATTCGTAATGAGTTATCATCAAAAATGTCATTTTAATGCAAATTTCTGTGAAGAGAACAATCGAAAATCACTTCAAATCTCTGGAAAACGCGATAAACACGTTTTAAAAACACATACAGCGTGAAAAAATACGAAAGAATGGTAAAATACGCAAGAAAAAGAGAAAAAACCGTGAATGAAATTTTGTGGGGGTGACACGCGCCGCACCGCGTTGCGTTAGAAAAAACACGCGTTTTCGCCCCATTGCGACGACCTTTTTTTTCGCTTGCCGCCGTCTCTTTTGGAACACTGTGGTAATTATCACCCATTATATGTGAACACTTCGCAATAGGGCGCACTTGGTTTTACGCATGTTTCGCGGAAATCCGAACTATTTCTATCTCACTTCGCTTTTTCTGAGTTTTTCATTTGTTTTCGAAATTTCATGATCTATAATCAAACTACAAGATGGTGAATACTTTCTGCGACGAAAGGAAAGGGGCTACCGTTCGCGTGAAAAATTCCCAAAATCGAATAAATTTTCAATGAGACCGTGTAGTCATCATCAGGGTTATACGGGAACCGGCTCGTGAGCCTATCGGCCCTTGGCCATTATCTAAGCCCCGTTTGACCTTAGAGAGGCCTCAAATAAAAAAGAACGGGCTCAAATTTTCTTCAAGTCGAAAACCAAGCTTTTTTTTTTACAGCAGAAGTCACATTTATGCTTGTTCATTCACTCACAGTTCAACAGAAACTATAATTTAACAACATTTAACAGTGAAATTTGGAAAAATTTTCGAAGCCTGGCCTGACCCAAGCCTGCGCAAACCTTTTCTCAAAAATGAGGCCCTAAGTCCGGGCGCCCGGAAGACGATATTGCTGACGCTACATTGACTAACTCGCAAAAAAAAAAATCACTTAAATATATAGAAGAAAGTCGTCAATTTTAACGTTCAATGGGATGTTCGTTCGATTTTTTTTTCAACCGTTTACCTAGTGTTAAACATAAAAACGGGGTCTTGCTTTTTTTTTAAACTGTTATCCACTGCAGTTTTCCGAGCTATTTTGAAGCTCTCTGCTCAAAACTTGTGGCAAAATTGATCTCGATCACCTACGTGCCGCAGAAATTCGTTTGCTACGACATCTTCGAGCTGTAGCACGTGCCATAAAATATTTTTTATTTCAAAGTTCATGAAGTGGATTATAAATCATGAAAACAAATGAAAAACTCAGAAAAAGCGAGGTGAGATGGAAATGATTCGGATTTCCTCAAAATATGCGTGAAGCCAAGTGCGCCCTATTGCGAAGTGTTCACATATAATGGGTGATAATTACCGGCGCTTTTTTCTTAGTCCCATTCCTATTTGAAAGTTTGCTCGATGGTTCACAGATTAATGAATTGTTGGTCTATCGGAATCTCCAATTTCTCAGTTTTTTCCAACTGCTCTGGGTATTGTTCAAGTTTCACTTTACCTGAGTTTTTCATCATTACTTTGAAATGAAATTCAGTTCACAAAATGTATTGAATGCATTTCAAAGTTTGAATGGAATTCAGCAAATGAAGGGTTTATCGCAATTTTGGACATGTGCTTAATCAAAAGTTGTAAAATTTGTTCAGCGTATTCAAAACGAAACACCTGCCGGTAATATGTATAAAAGCTTTCGAATCACTGCAGTCGTGATGAAGACTCGGCTCTTATATTTTAAAAAATAGAGTTTCAGTCCAAATTTTTGATAATTTGGATCATTTTTGATCACTGAATCGGATGAAACGATTCAGTGAACAAAAGTAAATGAATGAAACGATTTTCCGCAGAAAACACTAGTGTAATAACTTCAATGCCGTGTTCAAAGTGATTCCGCGAAATTCGAAGTCGCCGTCAGAGAATGAAAAAGAAAACTAAATTTTGGAGAGTCAGAGACCATTTTGCATTTCGCGGAAAGTAAACCAACTGTCAATTTTCGATTATTTTATTTTGCTTCCACACATCAAAACAATTCCTCTGTGAGGAGAAATCCGAAGTAGGTCTTTCTTTGAGTTTCCAACGCTTTCTACTTGTTTATCGTTCTTCAAAAAATTACTCTGATATGAAGTTTTATTTCATTTTTACCTCGTTTTTTATGTGTTGCGGACGATTCAAATTTGTATTTTAGGCCTGTTTTCTCACTGATTGAATTTTCATCATGGCTTCATCTGCCTTGAACTACCCTCCCTGTGAGAAAGACACCGATTTTCTCAACGAAAACAGCTTCAGAATGCTCGAATTGATTGTTTTTCCAATCGTAACAAGCCTCAATATTGCTGCATTCTGTAGTATTTTATTTCTATCCCCTAAAGCTATGAAAAACTATAAATGGCTGCTGCTCAACTATCAAGCATGGTGAGAACGAGGAAATTTCTACGAAACCAAGGAATTTTAAGCGTTTTGGTCATAGATATTATGTTTATGGTACTGTTGACGCCATATCTTTACCTTCCTGTTATGGGGGGTTGCTCCATCGGTTTGCTCCAATATATGGGGGTCCCAAGTAATGTTATAACTTCTATGGGACTTATTTCCATAGGAAGTCGGTCATTAGATAGGACTCCTAAATTTTTAACATTTTAAGGCGTTGTCTCTGCAATTCTGGCTTTGTTTGAATACCGTCATCATAACATTTTGCCCTCAAATAGCCCTTTTCGATTCAGTACAAAGCTCCGCGTTATAGTTTTGCTCGGTCATTATTTTTTGGTGTCTGGCGGCTCAATTTTCTTCGTGATAATACAGCCTGCAGATCAATATGCTGCCAAAATCGAAGCAATCGAGGTTGATCAAGACTTTCAAGAAGTTTTCATTCTTGACTCTTTCAGCTTCTTCAATGTATTCCTATCAAAATATTCACGTCTTGTTCATTCATAGTTAGCACAAGCTCTAGGATGGACGTGTTTTTAGGGTTTCTAGCAATGAAAAATGTTGTTTTATACGGGTTAATCTGTTCTCATGGACTTTATATATTGAACAAACAGAACAGTCACATGTCGGCCAAAACCAGAAAACTTCAAAAGTTTTACTTCTACAATTTGTGCGGCCAGGTTTTTTTGAATATGGAAATTTTGATTACTTACGAAATACCGAGTATAGAAAAACGAAAACTTGAGAGCAGGTGGAACTTCATTTGAGTCGATATATTTGCTATGAATCTTGAAAAAAATTTTGTCTTTAAAAATATTTATTCAAGATATCAATTTCATTTTGTAGAGTTTCTAATAGTGTGTCGAACGGTCTATTTAGATTAATACAGAAGTACCTATGTTATGAGAAAATTAATTTGAAGAGAGAAAAGAGAATTTTGAATTCCCGCCAAGAATATATTTTCACAAAAGGATGAAAATATCTCAAAGATCATTCTAAAAAGAAAAACTATAATTCTGGCTTTCAAATCCGCAGAAATAAACCTAAATCAACACAGAAAACGAAAAAATCTAATAATTTCCTTTCCTAAACAAAATAAAGTTTAGGTGAGTATTCCATTGGTTTTCATATGCGCACCACTTGCGTTGTCATCTTTTCTCGGACGGACTGGCATCACTTCCCAAGGTTCCCATTCCAATTAAAAGCCTCTTAGATAGGAAGCTTGCAGTATTTTCTTTGCTGGTAATTTTTATGTGGTCTATCCATGGCGGTATCTCTTCAACCTTCACGATTTTATCCAACAGACACTACCGTAGTTTCTTTTGGAGATTGGGCTCTTTGAAAAAGCACCTTTCCAAGAGAAGTTTGAAAAACAGAAGTTCAAAATATTGATTTATTACTTTTCAGAAAACAATATCGTTTCAATATCTGTTGTGGATCATAACGTGTCTACACCTAGAAGAAGAAGAGCAAATTGATTGGAAAATAGTAAATAGTAAATTCTAATATTTTGGCGTATTTTCTTAGTCGGTTTATCTCTTCTCATGTCTTCACTCCATTAATTTGTTCCAACCTTCTGTCAGAACCTGTTTTTTGAATCGAGCTGGAAGAGGAGGCCAATAAGAGCGAAATGGAAAATATCTATTGTCATTCCTCACTTCCACAATCGTCATAGTTTTTCCCGGCGATTGAAAAAAGCACCTGTTGATTCAACATATAAAAGCTTTTCTGCATTCATTTTGCCGATTTTGGAAAAAAATTAGTTTCGTTCCTGATTTTTCTCCGTTTTTTTTTACATTTTATCCCAAAAGAAATATGTGTGTAGCCTGTGTATCACGACTTGGAATTTCACCAAACGACATTCCGCCGTGTCGCTGGGTCCCTTTGCGAACCTTGGTAACGCTTTTAATTTTTTTTTCTTATTAAGGTACTCTACTTTCATGTGCTCCCAGAGCAATAACAATTAGACCCCCCAATTCGGAAGACGCTTCGCAAACGCACGCAGCGGAACAGCGGAATGTCGTTCGGTGAAATTTCAAGTCGTGGCACACAGACTGTGGTCAGAAGAAATTGAGAATGAATATCATAGTTCTTTGCTTTTCCATGGAAATTTCGTCTTAAAGCTTTTTCTCCAACCGCATTTTTTTGTGAGGCAACGTGTGAAAATTTTAGGTCGATTTTCCTCCTATTGAATCTATAATGGTCTCCTCGCCATTGGACTACCCTCCCTGTGAGAAAGAAACCGACTTTCTCAATGAACACAGCTTCAGGAATTTCGAAACATTCGTTTTCCCTTTTGTAATGACCCTCAACACTGCCGCATTCTCTAGTATTTTATTCCTGTCCCCTAAAACCATGAAACATTATAAATGGCTGCTTCTCAACTATCAAGCATGGTGAGAACGAGGATTTTACCTAGAAAAAGAAGGTTTCAGTGTTATGATCATGGATGTTCTGTTCCCAGTATTGCTGACACCATATTTCTACCTTCCTGTCATGGGAGGTTGTTCTATCGGTTGGTTCCAAACAATTGGAGTTCCAATTGAAGTTCAAGTCGCTATCGGATGTTTGTCCTTCACAAGTGAAGCTCTACAAATGATCTGAACGAAAAATGAGGCGTTCAGGTGTTCAATCCGCCATTTTGGCGTTATTTGAGTACCGTCATCACAATGTCTTACCAGCTAAAAGCCTTTTTCGGTTCAATACAAAGTTTCGCGTTATAGTTCTGATAAGTATTCACGTTTTTTTCTCTGGCGCCCTAGTTATCATCCTATTGACGGCGCCAGCCGATCAATATTGTGCAAAAATAAAAGCCATCGAAGTTGATCAACTTCGTCAAGCAGTTCAGTTCATTACCTGTTTCAGAGTCTTCAATGCATTCCCAAACACATTTTCACGCCCTGTGCATTCATTATAGATGCCTCGACGAGGTTGGAGGCGTTCATTGGGGTTCATGTGACTACGATTTCGTCCTTGTATACATTTTTTTGTTCCCATGGACTGTATATATTGAACAAGCGGAGTAGTCATATGTCGACCAAGACCCGAAATCTTCAGAAGTTCTACTTTTACAATTTGTGCGCTCAGGTTCGAGAATAACTGAATACGATTGTCGTATAGTCTGTGTGCCGCAAGTTGAAATTTCATGGAACGACATTCCGCTGTTCCGCTGCGTGCGCTCGCGAAGCGTTTTTCGAATTAAGGGTACGCTTTCAATTGATTGTTATTGCTGTGGGAGCACATAAAAGTAGTTTATCTTAATAAAGAAAAAGAAAATTAAAAGCGCGACCAAGGTTCACAAAGGCGCGCAGAAGCACAGCGGAGTGTCGTTTGGTGAAATTCCAAGTCGTGGTACACAGGCTATAGTAATCATTTAAACTTTTCGGGTTTTGAAACAGCCTAGTGAGAAGTTTATGAAGGTCTCGAGGCGAAGAGCCGGTTTCATTGTTATTTAAGGTCTTTTCAGGCTGTTTTATAGTGAAGTGTCCTCACTTCTAGCTTAAGATTCAAGAAAAAGTTCATGAACGTCTGATTTTCGTTTCACTCCACTAGTCCTAACTCGAAACTGAATTTTCTGTCTCTTTTGCCTCACAAGGGTGTTCACCCTACTTTGCAGTTATGATTTCTCTGAAAATTTGCCAGAAAGCTCCTTGATGTACCAGAAGGAGACCCTGGAAGTCTCAACCTGCAAAATTTTCTCGGTTTTGGAAAAAGAATCACCAATGCCAAAGAAAACCCTCAAGCCCCATACAAGAAGGCTATTTTGGAAATTTAGGCCCTTTTTTCTCGAAGACTAAGAAATTGTGCAGGTTGAGACTTTCAGGAACTTCATCATATATAGTACATCAAAAAGTGTTCTGGACAGTTTTCAGGGAATTCCCAACCGCAAAGTAAAATTACCTTTCCTGTCTGCAAACAAGGGAGGGCGCAGAGAAATCATCCGGTTTCAAATTGTGGCGAATAGACTTTATAAATTTTTTTTTTGATCATTATGCTTAGATTCCAGGTAAGTATTCCAGTGATTTTCATTTGCGTTCCACTTGCCATAATTGCCTTTCTTGGTAAAACGGGCAGCACATCTCAAGGTTCTCTTATCTGAAATCCTAAACCCAAAAATGAGTTTTCAGTATTTTCCCTGTTAGTTATCATCATGTGGTCGGTCCATGGCGGTATCTCTTCCATTTTCACGATTATTTCCAACAAGAACTACCGCAACTTTTTCTGGAGATTGAGATTTGGCTCTATGAAGAAGCTTTTCCCTAAACGAAGTTGGATATTTTGATTTTAATAAATGAACTCGATGATTTCAGGCAATATTGTAGTTTCAGTATCTGCTCCAGAACTTATTTTGTCTACGCCTAGAGGAAGTTTCAAAAGAGTCCGTTTGCCGCAAAATTAGCAAACTGTTCAAAAATCACGAAAAGTTATAACGTGAAAAACATGTTAACAATTTTTCAGCCGATGTTGTTTGACTCCAATTTTTTTGAAATTGACTCAAACTTGACATTTTATTCAGCCGTTGGCAGGTAGAAACACCTGCAGTTCGCCCTTTGAAAAAAACTAAATGCTTCCATTTCCCTTTGCTCAAATTCCTAAGCGATTTCTGAACTACTTATAGGGTATATTCAATGATCAAAGTCATAAAAATCTGACGTTTTATTTAGAGCCCATTTTTTTTAAAGCTTAGATTTTTCAAAGTTTGAATCATTTGCAATAAAGTATCATTCCCCTTTTTGAGATGAAAAGCTCGATTTTTTTTGAGTTTGCTATTTTTTTAGATAGAGAAAAGAATGTTTCTAGTGGATTGCCTTTTTTTCAATCAACTGCTGCTTTTTTCGGTTTTTTTATCTGAGAAGAACAATGCGTTTTTTTTTCTTTTTATTAATTTTACAAACAAAGATATTACAATTTTAGAAGGAAATGTTGAAGGGAACGCCAAAAATAATACCGATAACATGATATACTGTATCTTGAAACACCGCAAGGACTACGGTTATCAAAAATATTACGAAAATATTCACTGGAGGGGGGGACTTAGAATTTTATAGTTGACAGGGAAGTTAGAAGGCTACCAGCGAGTGAAAAAGACCAGGAAAAAGGAAATTATTGAAAATTCAATAAGTCCTAAAAATTATTGTGATTGGAAAAAAAAATTTGGGTGGTGAAAAGGGAAAGTTGAAAGACTATAGACTAAAAACGGAAAAGATTTCGATGAGAAATGCAACAAAAAAAAAAATCACGATTGGAGATGATCAGCAACCTGGAGTTGGACGACTACCAACTTCGAGCATCTCGAGAGGGATTTCCCAAAGAAAAGACGAGAACTGGAGGCTGGACAGACTCTGAAAAAAGGTTCCCATCAGTTTGGGTCAGTACAAGTTGGAAACTAACCCAAAGAACGACGAGTCTGGCGCTCGCGAATTGGAGCCCAAGTCAGACGTTCGAAGACTTCCGGAGCCATTTCGCTGCGAGTTGGAGTCTTCGGAGCCTCAGCTGGAGCTTCAGACGTCTCCTGAGCTGGAGCTAGGTCGATCAAAAAGTTGAGACTCCTGCGAGTTCTGGTGGTGGTGTCTGAAAATTAGGAAGATACTGAAGACGTCAAAATTTAAAACAACTGGAAACGCTCCAGAATAGACAAAAAACTGACCCAAAGAACGACGCATATTTTGGCGAACAGGCGCATTTGCAAGGCTTTCAAAGTTTTGAGAAACTGGAGCCACTCGAACAGGACTGAGAGCGAAAAAGTTGAGACTTCTTCGAGTTCTGGTGGACATGTCTACAAATCGAAGAAAGTTTGAAAAGGCTAAAGAGTGGAAAAACGAACCCCATGAACGACGAATGTTCCTCCGAAGTGGCGCATTTGGCAGACTTTCGAACTCTTGAGAAGCTCGAACTGGGCTCAGAACGCTGAAGTTGAGACTTCTACGAGTTCGGGTTGTGATGTCTGCAAATTTGGCACTGTTATGAAATAATCGAAGTTAAGTTTGGGGAACACTTAATAAAGAAGAGAGAAAACTAACCCAAAGAACGGCGAATGTTCTTCCGAAGTGGCGCACTTGCCAGACTGTCGAAGCTCTGAGGAGCAGTTCGGACAGGGCTTTGAGCAGAAGAAGCAGAGTTCATCGTGAGGAACAGAGGTTCAGCGACAAAAGTTGGCTCGAGCTCCTCGACGGCGGCTATTTAAACCCAAAAGAGGCGGAGTTAGTCGGTCCACAAGCCTCAGGCGTCCCAAGTGTCAACTTGGGAGCTTGGGCCGCGTCTCACACCTTGTCACTGATTAGTCGGAACTGGCGTTATTCGTGGTCTAAATGTGTCAATAGCTTAGTTGGTTTGTTCCCAAATCGGAAATTGACTCCTAAATAGTGTGACTCGTCAGTGACCTGACAGGAAAAGGTGTCAGTTGCCTGTTTTGTAACCAATACTTTGGTGTGAATTACTTGATTAACGGTTTTGTATTCTTCCCCGCCTGAAGGCTAACTATGAGGAGTTTAGTTGAGAAGTTTTGGCAAAACCAAACAAACTACGTGAGCTTTTAGGGAGGATTTAAATATGAGAAATCATCAAAGTATTTATTGGAGTTTTTCGAAACTTTTAAATTTTTTTGCAACATCTTTATTTGGGGAGGAAGAAGACCACGAAGTTAACTAACTATATTGTTTTATGCAGAGTAATCGAAAAAATAGTCCTCAAAGTAATTTTTAACAAGGCCATCTCAATTTCGGACCTTTCCGTTCTGAATCTGCTCTTTTTTTATAATAACTTTAGGGTCTTGAAATACCCTCTAAATAGCTCTTCAGACTCTCGACATTTAAAATCTCAAACTTTTTACCAGACCACCGTGACAATTTTTAAAGTTAGATGTGATATCAGCGGCAGAAAAGACGTTTAGTGAGCCTAGTCTCATACAGAATCCAACCAGAGGTCACAATTTATTGCGAATGAAGTTTAAATTTTTGATTTTTGATTTACTGGGAGTTTGAAAAATTCATCTGAAAAAATATGTTTATTCGAAAAAAAAACCAAAATACAAACCTTCAAGTTCAGAACGATTTAAATGCCACACATTTGGAAAGCCGTGTTTGGGTATGTATTCATTATACTGTAGCGTTGTAAGAAGTTCTAGAAAATATTATAAATTGAAAAAAAAAATCATTTTTCAATTTTTCAAACCTCCAATTCCTTCGTAGATCTCGGTCAAGTATTCAGCAAAGCTCATTTTTTTCAAATCATTTAAAAATTTATAATTATCGTTAGGTTGAAGAAATAGGAGAAAAATCGATTACCAGATTTTCACTGAACATTTCGGGTCTAGATAATGTTATATTGAAAAAAGCGGACTGTTGAACTAAGAAAGATCAAACACGTTGGAGTACTGAGAGTTTGAAAATTAGGTTAGAATAGAAATTTAAAAAATGAGAAGGAGATCCTCGGAAATTCTTTTTAGCATGTGCTGCGACGAATACTTGCTTCTCATTTTGAGAAATATTAGGAAACGATGGACCAAAAACTTATTGGATTGCCTACAAGAGGTTTTAAATGAGAAAACGAGAAAAAGAAAAAGGGAAAAATTGGGACCTCGAGCAAAAAATGCGAAAAATCCTTGGACATTGCTTGATGAATGAACATGCCAGCTGAAACTCAAAAAAAAACAAAAAAATTGGTTTAGAAGACAATTATGGATATTTCTAAGGTGCCATAGGATAGAACCAGCGGGTCTTGAGTTTACAACGAACTTTAAAATAAGAAATAATTCAAGAAAATACTTTCCAATGCAAAATGTTACAGTTCTGGCTTTTTTAAGTAAGGCTACAGAGGCAACCATTTAAAAAAAAAAGAAAAAAAGAAACTCGACTAAAAATTTTTTCGATTTTCAAACTTCGAGCTAATTATCATTAGAGCGCACATGCGCGTATCCTGAAATAATTGAAATAGACTAAATACACAAACGAGACTTTTCACTTTTTCTTCAAGCTGTTAGGAAATTCAAAAAAAAGTTTCTCAGAAGCTCATAATTTTACGACAAATTCAAGAAAAGCGGTAGCGGTTTCCGGCTGAAAGAAACGCAAAAACCTCAGTAGAAAGTTTAAATATAGTGCGAAACAAAAATAAGCCAAGATGATGGAGTAATGAGACACATTCAAAAGAAAGAACATGATTGGTGAATGACAGAAATGGCCGAACCTTCGAGGAGCGGGTCTTGACATCCAAAAGCAACGCCCACATGACACTTCTGCGACTCCCACAAGGTCAAAGGTGTTGGTGAGGCGGGAAATTTGAATATTTTGCAAAAAAAGACGGTTTTTAATAACTCCAGAGTGGTCTTTGTAGGGGTACCAAGGGGCTCTTGAAGGTTCCACTTCAGGATCACTTTCTCCCCTATAAGGTTTAGTGGATCCTATAGGGAAAATGCTATAGGATCGGTTAATGCTATGAAAAACTGCAAAACCCCCCAAAGAGACCACCCGAATTTAACCCTGTAGGGGCTGTTTTTCTACTAACCCCTATAGGGACCACTCTGGCGTTCTTAAGCCATTGACCGTTAGGTTTCAAGAAACTGTAGGGGATGAGTTGACATTCAAAAAGTACGTCAAAAAGGGCAAATACTTGAAATTTCGAATGTTAACTGGAAAAAAGGACTAAATAAATCAACTCTAGGTTGCTGGAAAATTTGTCAGCTTTGAGAAAACTTCACATAGGTTTTGAAAAGTTTAAGAGTTTCTTTTCCAAAATAAGGGATAGTTAGTTAGAATGAGCTCCTTGAAAGGTCTAGAAAAATGTATAAATTTTTAGAAATAGTTCAAAAACCCCATAAATTTGAGTTTTCAAAAATATTAAAAAGCTAAATTTTTGGCTTTATTCCGTTCGGACTCGAGTTTCCTGCCATTTGGTTGTTTAAATATTACTTTGTACCATCAATCAAAGTCGGAATGTTGGATAATGGCCACTAAAAGGGAGAGGCTCAAAAAAGGCCGCAAAAAGGCCGCAAAAAGGCCGCAAAAAGGCCGCAAAAAGGCCGCAAAAAGGCAGCAAAAAGGCAGCAAAAAGGCAGCAAAGAGAGTCCCTTTATCGAGCCTTTCATATATCTGGGATGTTGGAAAGCTTAAGAAACGTTGGAAAAAGAGAGACAGCCAAAATGGTGCTTAAGGGCCGAGAAAATAACGCAAAAAGGCAGCAAAAAGGGAGCCTTTTTCCACCCTTTCCGAATATGCATTTTTTTTTAAACTTCGGAAAGGAATTTTTAAGGATTCCAGATTGTTAACTCTTAATAAGAATCTTCTATTTTTCTTTTTTTTAGACTAGTTCCAAGCAAATCGGCTCCAAATCTAATCGCAAAAGTTCATCTGCTCTGCAAAAATCTGCAGAAAGAGCACGAAAATCAGTTGGCAAGGTGGCGAGGCCTCTGTTTGAGTTATTGCGATCCAGAGGGGTCTTACAACTATCTCGAGAGCCTTTTTGATGTGAGTATAGCCTGTGTACCACGACTTGAATTTTCACCAAACGACATTCCGCTGTGCCGCTGCGAGCCTTTGCGAACCTTGGTCGCGCTTCAATTTTTTTTTTTCTTTCATTAAGGTACTCTACTTTCATGAGCTCCTACAGCAATAACAACCAATTGAAAGCGTGACCTAGATTCGAAAGACGCTTCGCGAACGCACGCAGCGGAACAGCGGAATGTCGTTCGGTGAAATTTCAAGTCGTGGCACACAGACTATATAAGGAAGCTGCAAATATCACAAAATGATTCAACTCGTTTATAGATTACTTTTCTTTTTGATTCTCTTCGATTTAGACCCAAAATATTTTTAAAGTGGAACTTTATCGAAGTGGAGGCAAATATAACTTTCATGGTTCTCTTCCTCCACGCCACAGATCTGTCTGTGAGCGAAATAAACATTTCATTTCATAAAGGAGGCCATGAGAACCCGTTATTTAGAGTTATGATTTTTTTAAACTTTTTTTATCGATTATTAAAGCTTCAAAGTCCACAACATACCGAAATTAGGGACAAAGGGCGCTATTTCAAGCTTTTTTTAAAAAGTCGGGGGGCTAGTAAAAAAACAAATTCAAGCTTCAAGATGAAGTTTCTCAATTCCTTGAATAATAACCGTTTTTTTGATTAGTATCTTACAGACTTTAAAAAAATCATAAAAATCAAATTCAATTATGTGGATTTTTTGAGTCTTCACTATGAAGTTTTTTCATATCATTTTCAAAATTCCATCAACTTTTAACTATGCTTCCTTCCTTCCACTTCACTTTTAAGTGTTTTGTTGCTATTGGATGGATGCGAGACCATTAAACCTTTGAAAAAAGCTGAATGATGGCTCGGGACACTGGCGGAGCAGCAGCTGGCTGCATGCAAAACGGCACATGTGCGCTCTGACGCAAAACAAAAGGGCGTTTTTTTTCCGCCTTCGTCTTTTAAAATCGCTTTCCGCGTTCTGTTCCGCATTATCGCCGCCGACTTCCTCGCTTTGAGTCCATTTCGTTTGATTTTATGCACTTTTGGAGGATTTTTGAATTTTTTGACTTTTTTGTGGCGTTCTTTAGCACTTTTGATAGTTGAAAGAAAATTTGCAGATGTTTAGAGATGAGGAAATACATTTTGAGAGATGAATGCAGAGCTTGTGATGAAACGGGTCACCCCGGGGCGACCTCCAAAGTGATCACATTGTCAAAACAGCCTATTTTTTCGCCATCTTTTTTTGAACCTTTTTTCCACTATTTTTCTCATTTTCGACATCGCGGGTCATGTCGCCCCGGGGAGAATCGCGGGACAACCCGGGGCGCCGCGTCAGAAGCTCTGAATATAGGGACCTCAGACAGATTTTCAAAAAAATTTGTGGCGCGCCGCTCACCATTTTTTAGTACTGAAATTTTGGTGTTATCTATCTTAGACATTTTTCTCGATTTTTCTTCAAGAAAAATTTTTGATACTGGTCTATTATGATGTAGAAATCATAATAGAGTGCTAAAATCATGAAAATTTGCTAGTTTGCCGAAAAAGTCGGTATTTACCAGAAAACAAAAAACTGACGCTTGCGGGTATCGAACTCGCGACCTCAAAATGGAAATTCGCAGCGCACGCGCTGCGCCAAGTTGTCAGGTCTAGCGAAGGGAGCTTCCATCCGCCATACCCTTGAGCATTTCCGCACTAAATTCATTGTGATTTTGATTCGAGCTTTTATTCTAACTGATAGAAGTTTTTCAAACGGTATCTTTTTGGGATTCAGCTGCATTTCCAATCGAGCTCATTTTTCGCGAGCCGGTTATTCCGTCGAAATTTTTTTTAAACATAGTACTAAGTGGATTTCGACCTTTAGCAATTCCCAGTTCACCATCTGTTTGTGCAGAATACTGAAAATTTCCTACAGAATCAGCTTTGAATTTTGAAGACCTTCAGCTATATAGTCTGTGTGCCACGACGTGGAATTTCACTGAACGACATTCCGCTGTTCCGCTGCGTGCGGTCGCGAAATCTTTTGTTTCAGTCCTTTATTTTCCCGTGTTCCAGTGATCTACCAGCAATGATAACCAAAAAAAAAGCGCTACCGAGGCTCGCAAAGGAACGCGGAATGTCGTTCGGTGAAGTCGTGGCACACAGACTATACTTGTGACAGGACGCTAGTTGACCTGACCTCGTTGCCATATGTACTATCATATAGGTGCACGCCGCCTTCTTGTATTGTCACTTTTGCGCTCAGCACGCATATGCGGGCGGGGCTGAGTTGCTCTAATAAAGATCCAAGAGAAATATCGGTTCTACACACATCTAAATAACACTTCAAGGCCCGGTGAAGCCTTGCACGCTTATATACTCAACTTTCCCTCACAGGGCAGTCATACTAAAATACTGAGTATAGTAGGTTTGAATGAAAACATCCAATTCGGAGAATATTTGAAAGTTTTCTAGGGATCTGTTTAAAATATCCTTTCTGGATAGGATTGGTTCGGTTGGAAGAAGGTCAGAAAAACAAATTAGCGACACTCTGGTTTTTGTGGCAAAAAGAGCTTTGGCGACAACAGAGTTAAAAGTTAAAAATTTAAAAGAACGAAGAAAAAAGCGAAAATCCGAAAAATGGCGAAGCGCGTTGTCCATAGAGCAACTTTACTGCAAAACGATTTTTTGCGGGAATTCAATCTTTCCTTTCTCCGACTTTGATTCATTTTTTCTCCAAAACTAGGAACTTTCATACGTTTCCAAGTTTACCGTTCGATTCGCAATGAAAAACTATACAAAGAACTGCTTTGAACTGAAACACAGTTTTTTACTGCCCATATGCCTTTAATTTAACAATCTATCACCTTTTTCAGATATTATTAATTTAGTATTCTCTGTTATATACCTAAATTTGGATTCTGGATATTCCTATCTTGTTTCTCAACATTCCGACCCATCAGTTCTCGAAATTTTCAATGTTTTCAGCTTGATAAGTTTCGAAAAATGGACGACGAACGGCTCCGGAGTTTATTCGCCTCACTGGCCACCTTAACACAGCATGGACCTATTCCAGGTTAATTTTCGAGGAAACATTTCGGTTACGACATGTTACAGTACAAGCCTACAGTATGCTAGCGAACAGGCATTCGCCCGAATCTCTAGCAGAACATATGAGGATACGGTGGCTGGCGGATTGTCGGTTTGGACCGATTGCCGCTAATATTGTACTTCATATTCATAAGGTTTGTGGGGGAAATTCAAGTTCTCATTTTGAAGCATACTTGGGTTCATGTTTCGATTTTGCAGAAGAAAAAAATTTTTTCCAAGTTTCATTCTATATTTTAAAGGAGACTGAAAGAAGTCACTAGAGAGAGATCTTCCTTTTTCCCTTCAAAAAATCTAGGTTTTTGGAGGGAAATCACTAAAGTAGCCACTTGAAAGCAATAATTTTTGAAAACTCATCCTCAATTCCCTATTTTGTCTTGTAAAGCTACCGATAGTCTTCAGGATTTTTTTCAAGGACAAAAAACCCTCAAGTGGTCACTTCTAGATGGATCTCGGCGACGTGGCGCTGTCTTCTTGTGTCCTAGCGCTCCTTCTGAACGACTACCGTAATCGGCTACAAGTCAGGAACGACTCGCGCTTGATGTTCCGCAACAGTGTCAGGACCCTTTTCTCGTGAGTTTTCCAGCCGAAAATCATTCAACCGTTTCAAGGAAAAGTTAAATGAAACCGATTTTTGTTCGGTCAGTCCAACGTGGCATTTTAGTTCATTGAACTTTTCAGAATGTACCCGATCTTCGTGAAATTGGACCAATGCGTCTCCCAAAGCTTCATCAAACCGATGTTCTGCAGTTTGGACATGCTGATCGATGATGATCCGGATAGCGACGATTTGGAGGTGGTTAGGGGCTTCTTAAGTGGTTGGACTCTTAGGTAGGTACGTGGAAGAAGGAGCACTTTACTCAAAGCATTTCTGATCTTTAGGAGACGTTGAAGTTTATTAGGGGCTTCTCTAGTGATTTGAGGGGTTCGTAGGTCTTGAGGCAACCATCTGGGAAAATGTTTAGTGGACACTATAGGGTTTTGACGTTTTAGTAGCCACTATAGTAGTCAAATTATTGGCCACTTGAGAGGTTAAAAATTAGTGGCCACTATAGGGTTTTGACGTTTTAGTGGCCACTATGGTAGTAAAATTAGGGGCCACTTGAGGGGTTAAAAATTAGTCGCCGCTATAAAGGTCTAAGTGCTACTACCAGACCACTAAAAATTTTAGTGGCCACTTTAGGGGTCAATGGATCAACATAACTGGTCCATGCTGTTTTTTTTTTTTAATTATCATACTTACTGAAAGGAATATTGGATGAAAAACTACTGAAGTGGCCACTATAGAGGTGGGTTTAGTGGCCACTCTAGTGTCCTCTCCATGTAGTCCTTGGCCAGCCTCTAAAGAGGCCACTAAAAATTTTCCCAGATTGGAAATATTCAGAGCATTTGAGGGTTTTCAAAGTACCAAGTCCTTAAGGAGATGCTTATAACATACATTTTTTTTAAAGTTTTTACTCTTCAGGCGGCAGGAATCCTGATGGAAGAATTCGGACCATCCCTCCATGATTTGAACTCCTACCTCGTCGATCGGCTCATCGTCAAGGTTCGGCATCGGATGATCAGCGACGACGTCGTCATGAACCGCGACATTCGCCAGATCCTTCTTCATGTCTGATGACGTCATGTAATATTCATTCAATGACGTCACTTCAGGTGTGCGATCTTTGGGCTTTCGGCTGGTCGGAGCTGAATGTCCCGGAGTGCCTGGCGATCATGCCGACGAGTGGCAGTCTGACCGACGGACGTCATCTGGCTCCGCCCCCACGGAAGAATGACGTCACTCATCAGGAGTTCGGCAGCAAGGAGAGCATTATTTGAGGAGAAGGGGTCCTTTATTCAAGAATCATAGCGAGATATGAATTTGAAGGAATTTTTTAGAATATATTTATTAAAGGAGCATTTTTTTTTGATTTGACAGACGCTGTTGAAAGAGCATTCCATTCTATAGACGCTATTAAAGGAGCAGGACCTCCTACAGTTTTTTTGAGGCCCTTTTTTTAGAGTGAGTCTTATTAAAGGAACATCAAAAGACCGGAATATCACTGAATTTTCCAATTTTCTGGAACATCATTCCGTTCAGAACCTTTCTGAGGGAACCTTAAATTTTTCTAGGATAAAAAAACCTTTAATGAATCCGATATAACGGCCCTTTTCTCCTCAACTCCACTTCTTAGCCGCGATTTAGCTGATCCACGGCCAGCTCGAGACACTAAGGGAGCGTGGCCGGTCTGCGCTCTCCACGAACCAGGCACTATCTCGTGCATTATCGTGTCAGGACCTTTCTTTTTATGGCTCAAGCCAGCCGTCAGTCAGCTATACCACCTTTTCTGTTTTTTCATTTCGAAATCTAGTGCTTTACGTGTATTCTAGAACGGTTCATGTTGTATTTCCTTGCCTTGATAACATAATTAATAATAATAAACTTTATTTCTTGTTCTTTGAAGAAATTTTGTTCGATCCCGTGATTATTTGAAGAAAATTACATCGAGTGAAAGTCATGGTGATTGGAAAAAAAGAAAGAAAGATGAAGTGCTCCACGGATAATTTTAAGATTTGATTTGTGCTCTTCGACCTTGCTTAACGGAAACCTTACGTTTCTGAGAAAGGGATCACTTAAGAGTGCTGAAGCTACTAAAGGGACCACTGAAAATGATCCGATTCGCGTTACCCGAGTTTGACTTGTGTACTCGGACATTGGTAACGCCAGAACCTTTCTGAGCATTTTTAGTGACCACTTTAGCGTCGTAAGCTTTCTTAAGTGATCCCTAGAGTCGCTCAGAAGCTTCCGGTTCCCGTTATCGAGGTCATAATAGGTTTTTGAATTGTTAGGCAGCTTTCGAAGCATTTTTGAAGAGCGAAAAATCAAGATGGTACTTCAAAATTGAGGTACATCACTCAAATAGATGACTTTTAATGCTCAAAATCTAGCCGTCATAAAAAAGTTTTTTTTTCACTTAAGTGAAAACTTTATGTTCCTTCTTGCCGTGGAGCTAAATCTTAACCTATCGAGAAAATAGAAATGTACAATTTTGTGGTATTCTTGTCGAGAAGTTTAAAGGCGCATGGACGATATTTGAGAAAAAGTATTTGAGCGAGGAGTCATTTTAGTGTTATTTAAGGTATTCTACGCTTTTGAAAACGACGCTAAGGGTTCCTGGCTCAAATTTTCCGTGCTATTTCTCATTTGTAGTTCATCGAACTTGGGTTGAGCTGGTTTCCACGGACAAGAAGTGTTGGAGTTGATCTTCTGGAGAGCATTTCGGTCCAGGCGAGGTATAAGGACGAGGGAATTTCTGGTCGAGCCGACGGGAGAGTCCTGTAATAAGAATTTTTGAAACGTAAAGAAAATTTGACTTACACAACAACCAAATCGGAGGTTTGGCTGTGCTCGGCCATCAGTTCGACGGCTCTCAAGTAATCTTTGGTCTTTTCTCGGAAGTTAAACAGGTCGTCCTGGAAAAAATTCAAAAGTAATTTATCAAACTCTTGCTTTAGCACTCAAAATTTGAGAGTGAATCTGAAAAAGTCGAGAAAAACTTGAAAAAAACAAAATTTCATTCCGGTTGTCTTACTGTATTTTAAAAACCCGCAAACACACCGACGGAGTCAGTTGAACTTTGTTTTTTAAAAATTTTCAAATTTTTTTTTTCCTTTTCAAAAACACTTTATTCCGTTTTTCATGTATATTTGAATTGATAATTTTTTTTCTTATTATTAGTTGTATGTACAGGATGGTTTATATGCCTTTTCCTCGCAAAAACCATTTTTTTCATTTTTTTGATAAGTCCATAATTTTTTTTCACAAGTATGAATTGAATTCATGATTCCTTCATTTTAAGTTTCAAGTTCAGTAATCAATCAAAAAAATACAGGTTAATTATTATTTTATTTGTTTTTTTAGATATTTTTTTCTGGAAGATCCCTTCGAAAAAAATTCATTAAAGATCAAAAAAATTTTTTTCACTGTTTTGTTTGGAATATTTGGCTGATAACTTCGGGAATTCTGCTCCTACTAGTCCGAAATATGTTTCCGTTTTTTTCAGAAATTCGAGTCGAAGATTGGATTTTTTTCATTTACGGACTCAACTCTACCGATCAATTCAAAAATTAGAGGTTTTTTTATGATTTATTTTTTTCACTTTTCGAATTTTTTTATAAAAGCAAACTCCACTGTGGAAACTAGCTTCAGGGATCGATCGGGATAATAATTTTTTTAATTATTTAAAAATTATGTTTATAAGCTAGATCCCACAAATTCAAAGTTTCCCACCTCATCAACTTGTCCCGGCGATTTTTCCTCGCCTCGGCGCACTTTGAACGGCTCTAGGAACTGATTGAACATGTTGAGACTGTAATTTTCTATTGGATTACTGTAGGATTATTGTACTCACGTCGCGGCCGATGGTGGCTGTTTGAAGTCTGGTAAAATGTGGAGGTCCGAGGAGTCGATGTTGAATTTTCGCAGTAAACTCGTCATCCGTTTCTGTTCTTCGTTTACCTAGAGTCTTACTGTAGGCTACTGTATCTATGCTATGCTTGAATTAATGACGTCATATGTTATTTTCATTTTCGCTTACAGCATAAGCTCAAAAATGTTTGGTATTTGCGAAAAGTAGCGTGAAAAAAAAAAATTATTTTTCGAACTAAAGATTTTCGATTTATTAAAAATATGACAATATGAAGTTTAAAAATGAAATCACTGATATTCCTAATGACGTCATCCTTTAAAAAAATAATTTTTTTTGTGCAAACCTTGCTTTCCTGTACACTGCCCTTGGTGAAAACGCGAATTTGAGCGCCCTGAAAAAAAATTTCCGTTTTTTTATATTATGTATATTTTTTTAGTTCATATAAAAAAACGAAATTCACCTCTAAATAACTGTTATTTTGGGTCAGTAAATGAGGAAGAAGCATTGTGAGGCCGCCAGCTTCTCGTAGCCACCAAACGTCTGAAAATGGATCTTTTGAGCTCCATTAAGTTTTCACTTGAGGGAAACTTCTCATTCTTTTGGAGATTTCAAGGAATCTCAGAAGCTTGAATGATCACTTGAAAAATAGGATTTCGAAAATTATATTATAAGAATTAGGAAGTGGTCACTTTAGAGGTTTCTTTTGGAAAGTGGTTCCGACTTAACGATTTTTAAAATCCTCGCCTCTTAAGTGATCACTTCGTCTATATTAGGGTTTTGCTGATTTCAGATAGATGAGTCTGAAAAGGTGAAATGAAGTAAGGAAGATATTTTGAGGGGTTGCTATAGGGTTTTGGGCTGACTTTTCAAGGGACCGCTTCGTTTTTCTCTGCGTTTTTGGCTTGATTTTTAAAAAATCCTCCGCCTCTTGAGTGATCCCTTCGTCTATATCAAGGTTTTGCTGATTTCAGATTGAAAAGCAGAAATGAAGGATTGAAAATAATTTTAGCGGTCACTTTAGGGTTTTGAGCTGGATGCTAAAGTGAACGCTTCATTTTTCTGAACTCTGCGTTTTTGGCTGAATAAGGTTTCCATTGTCGGAAGATAGCTTGAGGACTTTTCATGGGGGTTTCTTTAGTGACTTTTCTAAGGGGCGGTTTAAGTGGTTTTTATTCTGGGAATACTTTCATTCTTTCATTCAACACATTTTCGGACAAGAATTATTACACAACCTGATATTTATCTGAACTTAAAATTCCAATTTTTTTTTCCAATGATCTTTCTAGGGGCATTTCCAAGTAGCCCTTCAAGGGGCCCAAAAGTAACACACCGATTCTTCCGTGTGGTACACTTTTCCTGAACCGATGCATCTGGTCATTGATGTGCTTTTGATCCGGCGCAGAGATACTGAGATTCAGAAAAAAAAAATAGTAGACTGTTAATATAGTCACCAAGAACCTGTATTTGGGGATGACCTCGAATCTGTTCTTATCTGCTTCGGTAGTAACTGTTGGGTTGACTTTGACGCCGATTTCTGGGTCCTGAAGATTTATTTTATAAAAAAAGAATTTACCTTAAAAATAAAGTAATTCTAGAATGTAACAAGAGCTTATGGACTGCGAAAAACTTGAAATTTAGTGAAGCTATTATAGTACATTTTAGTCTCATTCGACGATGGAGACTATTTTGGAAAAATGAAAAGACAATTTATTTTGGATGGAAAGCAAAATATCAGTTAGGGCGAATTTCTGTTCAACTTAGATTTCCGTAATGCAAACCGGACGCTTACCGGACCTTTCTGAGCATTTCTAGTGATCCCTATAGCGTTGCCAGAACTTTTAAGTGACTACTTGGAATGCTCAGAACGTCTGGGGCGTTTCCGAGAGAGATAGCTTAAGCTTCTTTTTTGCCTTGATAGGGTCTGAAATTTTGAACTAATTGTAGGAAATACCTGGACCGTTCGACCCATTCCAACGCGGCTGACTTTTCTGAGAGCCCCTTGTACGCTGTTGAAAAGTTTTGCTCGTTGTCCTAAATTGTTTGGTTTTTATAGTTCATTTAACGCTGGCTTAAGACAATATTAATACAGGCAAAGTCCAATCGAGCTCAAAAAGGCCTTAAAAAGAAAAGTCTAAAGCTCCTCTCTGAGTTCCTGGAAAGGCGTCAAAAGTTTCTCAGAATCTCCTTTTTTCATTTTCATTTTTTTTTCTTTTGAAAAGATCCTTTTCAGGAAAAGGTAAAGAAAAAAGTGCCTTTGAGGTCTTTTTTTTCAAAAGAATTTGAAAATTTAGTTTTCTTTTCAAGAATTTTTTGACTTTGCCCGTAAAGTAAGGGCTTTCATATGAATTATCACAGTGTTCCAAAAGAGACGGCGGCAAGCGAAAAAAAAGGTCGTCGCAATGGGGCGAAAACGCGAGTTTTTTCTAACGCAACGCGGTGCGGCGCGTGTCGCCCCCACAAAATTTCATTCACTTTTATTACTGTTTTTTCTCTTTTTCTTGCGTATTTTACCATTATTTTGTATTTTTTTCACATTGTATGTGTTTTAAAACGTGTTTATCGCGTTTTCCAGAGATTTGAAGTTATTTTCGATTGTTTTCGTCACAGAAATTCGCATTAAAATGACATTTTTGATGACAACTTATTTCGCATAAGATATTTCGTTTGTTTTTTTCTTTTAGAATTTTCAAATGGACTTCCTTAAGAGAAACGCTGTGAGACTTTTCTCAAAAATTTTTTTTCGAGGCAGTATTCGACGAATTTATTCTTGAAAATGTCATTTTGGGTGACAACTTTATTCGTACAAGCTATTATGTATTTGTTTCTGTTTTAAAAACGTTCAAATGGTATTTCTTAAGAGAAGTGCTTTGAGCTTTTTTTCTCAATTTTCCCTTTGGAAGTTCGATTTGACGAGTTTTCCTAAAAAAACGACATTTTTGGGAGATATTTTGTTTTTGCAAAAAAACTTTTTTTCGTCTCTTTCTTCATTTAAATTTGTTCGTTATAATTATATACACATTAAAAAAATCTTCGAAAACTTGCGAGAACCTAGGAAAAACATCATTTAATGGTCTTTTTCCCACCACTAAATCCACAAAACTTGACTCTCATTCTCGCGCCCCTATTGCAATAAACCGTGCCGCTGTTGCAGTCAGCCACGCCTACTGACCACAGCTGCCGCTCGTTTGGGAACACTGTGATTATTGACGCTTTTGGATCGTTTATTTTGTTCTTGGTAGGCGTGAACACGCTTTGAATTCACCGAATCATTCACCAAAGTTAGAAAATTCAATTTGAAAGGTATTAATTTTTTTGAATTTTTCATATTCTTTTTTTCATTAGAATGACCGGTTAGCAAAGCGTTATTGCGGATAATTCGCTGAATGAAAAAAAAATTAAGAAAAAAGACCTTTTTTGATCGGTTCCTCGTTCAAGGAGACGTTTGTGCTGAAAATTTTTATCGACGTCAAAAAAATTAACCCTTCCAACCTTTCAACAAATTCTGCGATTTCCTTATCACCTTGGACTATCTCACCATCCGAAGTTTTTCGAATCGCTGCAGATAGGTCAAAACCAGAGTTTTGATTGCGAAATATCGCTAGTCCGACTTGTTTTTCAAACGCGTTTCTGAAAAATTAGTGATAAAATTATCGAAATAACCAAATTTTGTCACAGATAAGTTTAAAAATGCTTCTGTACTTTTTTTTGCTACGACTTGAGACAGTATGACCTGTCTGTGCTCTCTTTTCTCTCACTGGCGAGGTTATAGACGCATGAACTAGAGAATAGAGAGTAAAAAGAAATCAGACAATTTTTCGAATTTAAAATTGGCAGTCTCAAGCTCTCATATATCAGACTGTTTATAGTTGTGCCGAAGGAGGCATAATTTTTCAAAATTGAATTCGCCGCAACTTTTTGACCCATTCCAAATGCGACCATAGGGATTGAACACTGTTTTTGATGACGCAATCTAGCGATTCACCGGGTGTACATTAAAAACTCTCTTTTTCCAAACGGAGAAGTATTTACAGTATAACTTCAACAAGGTCCTGAAGATCACTCACGTCAGCATGCTGTAGTACTCGTTGTTCTGTGCCAATTTATCGAGACCCGTTTCCCAGTTCCTCTTGAAGCCCAACATCAGAACATTTGGCCGGATCCGACCAAGGCCGACGGTCTGTAGCAGTGTAGCCACGCCGTCGGCTTGTCCCGGACTGCAGATGGTGGCGCCAAAGGCGGCGATTTCCCGACGGATGAACCATTCGCTCATCTGCTTCTCCAGCTTCTGGGTTAGCAAGTAGCTTCGAGTTCCAGGGGGTTGCTGGAAATGCTGGTTTTGGAAAAAGCTCGTTATTCAAGTAGAAGACCTTATTTTGAAATTTCAGTGGAAATGAATCAGCTTGACGGTTAAGAATGGCTCCTAGACGTTTTTAGGACCTTGGCAAGGCTAGAATTTCTAGATATTGGAAAAATATTTCGAGTGAGAACTTCTAAGATCAGCCGATTTGCTTAGGCCGTTTCAGACTTGGTTAGCCTAGGTAGAACTTTTCAAACTCTCAATTCCTTTCTGAGATCTTTCATCGAACCATTTCTGGGCTAACCTACCTGTACAACATAACCACAGATGAGCAAAGTTTCCCCTTTTGTTATGCTATGAGTGAAGTCGACAAGTCCTGGCCGAGCCGCTGGATTCCCAGTCAGAAGTAGAATCTGAAAAAGCTAGGCTTTTCGCAGTTCTACCCAATTTTGACTAGGCTTCAAACCTGAGGCCTGTACCGTCGTTCACTTTCCGGCTCTTCACTCAATTCGTAGACTCCTTGAAGAGTTGGCACGAAGTTGGAACGCTTCTCAAAATCTCCCTCCTTTCTTTCTGAATTTTGAGAATATATCTATATTTTAAAAAAAAAGCAACCTCGATACGCATACAACAGGTAGCTGTAGGCGAGAATGAAGATGAAAACGGGCAAAGTTGTGACCCAACGAGAAATATGAAGACTTAGGAGGATACATCCGGCTGAGGTCAGTAGAGAGACGATTGGTGGTGGTAGTGGGGATTCTGGAAGTTGTTATTGGATCTCGGAAGGCTGGATAACAGCCAATAAAAGGGAGAGGCTCAAAAAAGGAGGCAGAATGGGTGCAAAAAGAGTCCCTTTATCGAACCTCCATTTTTGCTGGGACTCAAGAGATGGTGTAAAAGGGAGAGGCAGCAAAAATGGTGCATAAGGGCCGATGAAATGGCGCAAAAAGGCAGCAAAAAAGGAACATTTATATGGAACCTTTTCCGACTCTGCCTTCAAATAAATGAGTCATGAAATGATTTTTTTACAAGCTCTGAGTATGTTTCAAGGAGCTTTTAAAACTCGATTTTCTTTTTCAAGAGATTCAGTCGTTTAAAGACGGTCATCTTAATTTTGACATTATAGTTGACTCCCGGCTGGCTTGAGTCATCGAAAAATGGGTCCTGACACGAAAAAAAGGAGATAGCGCCTGGCTTCCGGAGAGCGCAGACAGGACAAGCAATCCGTGAATATTCGCCGAGACTTTGTCCAAGCGTTCCAAGTGCAACTTTTCAAAGGTTTTGAACATACAAACTCGAAAAAAAAAGCTTCTAGCTATTATGAAATCCCGCAAAGATCACCTGAATCCTTGGATTTGGCTCTGAAAGCGTAGAAATTGAACAAAGCGTAAACGACCAAGAAGAAACAACTTGTAGGAATACACAGAACATCGTAACTACCTGAAACTTTTCATAAGATTTATTGAATTTTTCGAAATTTTCGAAGTGAAAAGTCATGGATTATTCTTATCTAATTTTCGATTTGTGTGTAACTTTTTTTAAGCGGTCTTGAACAAATTAATAACAGAAAGAGATTTTTTTCTTTGAAGGTAACGGCGAAAGTTCGGGAAAATCAGGTAGATGTAGCATTTATTTAGCGGTAAGGAATGGAATGTGAACAAGAAAAAGAACTTGTCTGATGGACTTTTCTTGATTTTTCGTTTCAAATATATTGAATCCTTCTTTTTTAAACTGTTTTAATTGAAATACAACCTCACCAATCATGGAAATCAGCACAGAAATGCAAGTAACACTCAAAAGTGCTCTAAAAGGAATATCGTCGTGACCGTAACCCCGGGAAAGGCACAGTAACCGGCCGAAATGTTGGCAGCGACCGAGGGACTGTAATTTTCAAATGGTTAAAGGATAATGTAGTGTTTTGTTACAGTACCTGGACGATTCTCGAAGCGTAGTGAAGGAAAGTAAGGGCGGAAAGGGCTCCGCCTAAAATGACACCCAGGGCGATGGGAACCGTCGTGTAGTAGTAGAAAGCCTGGAATGATGGGTTACAATGAGATTACGACCATGAAAAGCTACTGTGAGCTACCGTAATCCTTTAAATCGCTTCAAAACCCTTACCCAAACTCCTTCCAGAGTAGCGTTGTGCCTTGCTGGTCCAATCGAAAATACTTCGATTTTTTCTGACAGCGCCGCCACCACGTAGGTTATCACGCCCACGAGAACGGCAAGAAGGCAGCCACGAGGAGCTGAGCCCTTAAGTGATCACTTTCTATGGGAAAATTGTAAATAAAAACCTGGATTTTTCGGTTCATCGAGAGGAGTGAGAGTGTGCAAATAGCGCTAGGAAATAGGACGGCGAAGAGGTTTCCGCTGTCGTTCAGGGATGGTGATGAGATCAGTTGATTCACTGAAATTTGGGTAAATAATGTGGACGCATTTGGAATGGCTTTTAAAAGGAAGTTGGAATCACGAAGATATGAAATAAGGCAGTCCCAAATTTTCCGAGCTAAAAATTAGCAGTCCCAAGTTTTTCGAGCTAAAAATTGGCAGTTTCAAGTGTTTTCGAGCTATAAATTGGCAGTCCCAAGACTTTTCGAATCAAAAATTGGCCGTCTCAAGTTTTTTCGTGCTATAAATTGGAAGTCCCAAGCTTTTTCGTGCTATAAATTGGCAGTTCCAAGCTTTTTCGTGCCAAAAATTGGCAGTCCCAAATTTTTTCAAGCTAAAAATTGGCAGTCCCAAGTTTTTCGTGCCTAAAATTGGCCACTCCGAACTTTCAGTATTTACTATACCTATATAGTTTTTTTTTTCTATGTCTTACCTTCCGGAACCTTCCTCAGTACATAATCGCCGTAGTGAAATAAAGCTCCAGAAAGGTATAGGAAAATCGCAAGAAACGTCAGGGCGAAAACGAAGGTTCGAACCGTCCCGGAATGCCTCATTCGAAGTGTAGAGAGCCCCAGGATTATCAGGCACAGTACTGAAAATTTATTCCAAAAATTCAAGCAACCAGAAATGAACCTGCGCTGATCAGCCGCAAATCATGATTAGCCCCATCGATTGGCTCGAAGGAGAACATTGATAAAATGTGCATGACGGCTTCTGACGCCGCGGAAATGAAGGCGCTGATCGCCATACAGCAGCAGAAGACGAAGAGGACGCTTAGAGATATGCCGACTTCCGTGCTGGTCGCGGCGACCATCTAGAAGTCATTTTCAAAAAAAAAATATCAATTTTTCAAAAGGAGTGGGGGATTTCAAAAATCAAACTGCTCGAAAGTGGAAAAAAGAAGGTCGTTAAAGCATTGCCGGCTTGCTCGATGGAATATTTATAGTTTAAACACTGTATAGCTGATTCACGGCTGGCTTGAGCCATCGAAAAATGGGTCCTGACACGATCAGAAAATAGATTGTGCCTGTCTGGTGGAGAGCCCAGACAGGCCACGCCCCCTCAGCGTCTCAAGTTAGCCATAAATCGACTATACTGTTTCTTTTCGATTTCTTGGTAGGTACAGGTCCAGAAAAAACGACCATTTTGAGCTGATTCCTTATAAGGATCCCATACAAAAAGCGGATTCTCACTAACCGTTCTCAGAAATCCGTGCTCCGAATGATGCTTACTAGCAGTAATACATGTCGTCCAACCCGTTACCAGTGCGATTGTGAAGGATAAAAGCACTATCAATGTGGCGACGGCTGGAAATGTACCAATTTGAGAACTTAAAAAAGTCCAATATAGTCCGTCCACCGCGACTTTCGCGTGTCTGCGTCTCTCTGCTCCCTCACCGGCTAGGTCAGAGAAACATGAAAATAGCACGTAAACATGAGAGAGAGGTGGAGAGATAGGGAGGGCGCAGAGAAGTCGCGAAGAACGGACTATACTCGACATAGTCTGTTCAGATTTCGAATGTCAAGTCGTCGCTCAAGCTCCGCCCATAATGGTGCGATAAACCAATCAGAGAGCGAGCCATCCACAGAGCGTTTTTGAATGACGTCGTTGTACTTTTCATGCAAAATCTGAACAGACTATGGACTTTTAACAATCTGAACTTTCAAATATAATGTTGTTCGAACGATTTTTATGTTTAGTGATCCCTGAAGTGGAGATAATCCCTCTTTAGATCACTGCACATTCCCAGGCGACCTGCGACACATTTCAACATAAGTTTCAACTAACAAGCTTTTTTTCTCTTCCAACCTCAAGTTCCATACAGATTTCAATCAGTTTCAGTTGAAGCCTGGAAAACTGACCGACGCCGACCTCGTCGATGACGTGCGAGAATCTGAAGAGCAGGACGACGGCGAGCATCGGCTGCGCGACGCGAACGAAGACGTCGCGCCATCTGTACGACGTCGTGACGTCGATCGCCTCTTCGTCGTTGGATTCGCGGGCCTTCTGAAGGTATTCTTCCAATTTCGATTGGGAATTCGGCTTCCAAAGTGTTCTGGCTTGCAAAGAAGAAGAAAAAGGACCCCAAAAAGTTCGAAATTTCTCCCAATGGGCCAATGAACTTCGTACGGGCGCGAAGGGCTCAAAGCTCAACTTTTCTTTCCGGAGAATTTTCATTTTTTCAAGCTTTCCTAATAAAATAACGGAATGGAAGACATAATTCTTCAGAGTTACCATTAAGAAGCGAAAAAAATAATAATAAGAACTCGAAATTTTGAGCAAAATTCAGTCTCTTCAAAAATTAAATACAAAAAACCCTCAAGCATCTTGATCATTTTTACTTAATTATTTTAAAAAATTTACTCAAACTCTCTCAATTTGCTCACTATCTCACTAATCGTGCCAGCAACCTTTTTTTTGAACTTGTTATCCAAAAAATTCCCTCTCCCTCACTTCCCACCGTTATCCATAATTTATTAATTTATTCAAAAAAAAGCTCCATTTCACCAATCAGCCCACACAAAAGAGGTAATGATTCATTCATAGCCCCTTACCCAAAAAAAGAATAAAAGCGAAACGGATGGCCGATTGGAGCTCGTTTTTCCTCGGCAAACATGAAAGCTTAATGAAAGTTGACGAGATGTTGGATAAATGGAACTTTTTTCGTTTTTTTGAGTTGGATTAGTTTTGAGGAGACTTCTATAAAGTTATCTAGTATACTAGATTTTTTTTTTTTATCTGATGAAAAATTTTGAAGGTCTTTTTACCTTCCAAAAGGGTTTGGTCGCATTTGGAATGGCTCAGTTTAGGTCATTTTGACATTAATTAGCTCTCTTTAAGGCTTTCTGATGCCATCGCGCGCAAGTCGTTTTGGGTCGGTTGAGCTATTCCAAGTGCGATCATGGACTTTGAAAAGCTCTGACTTGCGTTTGCATTGACATTTCATCTAAAGAAAAAAAGGTCGATTTTTTTGAGAACGGTAGATTTTAAAAAAATAATAATCATAAATTTACCTCGGAAGATAGGTAATTCGCGCGGCCGGTAGCTTGGGACGATACCGCGCCGCCCGCCGTCTGGGCCATGGATAACTGAAATTTGGAATTTTTTTAGTTTGAAAAACAGTATATTTTTCCCAAAAGACAAGTTTTACCAAGCGGTCTGACTTCTCTGCGCTCTCTCGTATTCGGGCAAAGTTGGGATGGTGGATAATGGCCTCTAAAAGGCTTAAAAAAGGCCGCAGAAAGGCAGCAAAAAGAGTCCCTTTATCCAGCCTTCTATTTTTTCTGGGATTTCAGAAGCTCCAAAAAAAAGGGAAAGGCAACAAAAATGGCCCATAAAAGCAGATGAAAAGGTGCAAAGAGGCAGCAAAAAAGGAACTTTTTCACCCTAAAAGGAACATTTCTAGGATACTTTTTCCATTCTTTCCGACTTTGCCTTTGTATTTAAATGTTTTTCATGACCTTGTCGGTGAGAGAAAGGAAGACGCAGACAGGTTAGACTTTTTTAAGCCTTGGATAAAGGGTTTTTTTTTTTCAAAAAGGGAAATTTTTTTCAACATGAAAATCGACGTTAATCGCTTTAAGAAATCTAAGTTTATCTTTTGGCGAATTTTTCATAAATATCATTTTCATCCATATTGTATACCCCTAAGTATGTATGTAAAAAGGCCATCTAATCTTCAAATTCCAAAAAAAAAAAGTCAATATAATTCCATTCAACAATACCAATCAAGACAAAAATTGTTACAACACTGAAGAATTGGCCGAATTAAAACGGAATGAACCTTTGCCATAAAAAAGACCCCTTCTGGCCAAAATGATTGATAGCCGCTGCCCATTCAAAAACCGCCACACTTTCTCTTTTTTTCTCTTTTGATTTTGTTTCAATCCAAAAACTATCAAATTTAACATTAAAAGCGGATTTTTTCCAACAAATATGTGTTCAATTTGATAGAAAAACGTCATTTTTATGTTGTAAAACCGGTTTTTGAGTAATTTGTTGTCGTTTTCTTCGGCATTTTTTCGGGCTTTTAGGGATCAAAAATCATGTTGAATTGAAATTTCGTGGAGGTTTTTATGTAATTAGGGAGGGAATGAATGAGATGGATAGGAAAGAGATTTGGCTTTTTGTGGCGGAAAAAAAAACGGAATGAAAATTTTGTCTGTGGCGCGTAGTTTCAGCTCAGAAACAGCTTGTTTCATTGAATGTGCTGGGTTTGATTAACCGGAAATGGGTTCTTAAAATTGAAAGAAGGAAAGAATGATCAGAGGACACCTTAGAGAATCTGAAAAAAGGCTGAAAATGAAAAATAGATCATTAAATGGCTCTTCTAACCCGGAAAATAGCTTTTTTTTTTCAGTAATTATAAAAAAAAACAAAAGAAAAATGATGAGAAATTGAAATAGGAAGCCTCGAATATCATTGGAGCACACTTCTGACATAAATCATAGCTTTTTTTCTGGATCTTTGCAGAATTAAAATGAAAAAGTTGGATCAAGAAACCTTTAAATTCAAATTTGCTTACATAAAATTTGATTTTTTCGATCAAAATTAAAGAGAGAAGGTAAAAAATCGAACTAGGAACAGCTATAAATAATTAAAAAACAAGGCCTAAAATCTATTTTATCAGTGGAGCACATTTTCAACAGAAACTAGGGAATTTTTTGATGGTACGACAAAATCTCAAGTCCGCAAATCTCGAGGACCGTAATCTTGTGTACGCAGATCTAAAGTCCCATAATCTTGGAAACCAAAATCTTGGAGACCAAAATCTTGGAAACCACAATCTTGGAAAGCAAAAATCAACGTTTTTGCGAATAGATTTTATCAGAAATTGTATTCGGTGATCCAAACAAGAGAATATAAGTAGATAAAGTGCAATAAAGAAGACTAAAAAGAAAGATTTTTGCTTTCCAAGATTATGGTTTCCAAGATTTTGGTTTCCAAGATTATGGGACTTTAGATCTGCGTACACAAGATTACGGTCCTCGAGATTTGCGGACTTGAGATTTTGTCGTACCATCAATTTTTTTTGACATTTAAAAAAATTTGAATAAAAAAATCGAGCCAGGGAGCTTATTTCTCAAAGCCGATATATCTTAAAAATAATATTTTTTTACAAAAAAATGAGCGGAAAAAAAGAGGCATAATTGAACCAAGAAGCTCATAAAAAGTACGATTTTATAAAAAAAAAAAGTAAATTATGATAAAAAAAAATGCAACGAACCGCCATCTCCTTCAGTGGCCGAACTATCCAAATCGGTCAGGGGCTGTGAAATCCAAAAAATTGAGAAAAATCGAGCGTGGAAACGTTATTTTTGCTGTGTTTGTGTGTATGGGAAACGTGTGAAGGCGTCTCGTGTCTTCTGAATTGTGGGCGGGGCTTGTTAGAGAGGACCGAGAGATGAGAGAAGTTAGAAGGATAATTTTTTTCACCTTTTTTTCGCACTCTTTAAGTGAAAAACAAGAAGAAAAAGTTTGAGATCGGAAATATCTAAAAATTAAAGTTTATATTATTTTATAACTTGAATTTTTTTAAATTTGAGTATCAAGATCATAAAAATGATTCGAAAACCCCAAAAAAATTTTTTTATTTTTTTAAGTTTTCATTTTTTTAATATATTTCAAACTTTTATCCTTTTATGTGTTTCAAAACAAGATTTGAAACCCCTTTTTTTTGAGATTTTTATGAAAATCAGTCGCTGCCAATTTTTGCTCTAGAAAATTTTTGGACTGCCAATTTTTAGCCACATTATATCATTTCTTCACAAATTCAAACAGTCTGACTTTTCTGCGTCTCTCGTTTTCATGTATCTATAGCTTAAAAAGCAGGAAAAAAAAACACAAACAGGTCAGAATTTTCCTAATTTTCACAAATTAAATATTTTGAATTATCAAACTTCTCACTGGATCCCATACTGAAAGTCTTGAAACGATCAAAATTGTGAAATACAAAATAGAAAGAACTCCTATTTTTCAAATCATAAATTTTGACCAACGTGGTCTAAAAAACCCCTTTTCAAGGTTATGGAAACGGGTTCTTGGAATTATTGATCCCATTTTTTTTTCGGTTGAATCAACAGAGGATTAATTTTTCTCTTCCCTTCTTTTTTCCACTTTTTCGCGGTTTGACTGGAGAATCAGGTTCTTATGAAGGTGTTCAATGTGGAATGAAGTTTGGTCTTAAAGTACTATTTCATTTTTGTGAAAATATAGGAGTTTTTAATCTCAGGAGGCCAAAAATTAATTATAGAGTGATGGAGAGAAGCTTAAAGAAAGCTGCTTTCATAGAGTTTTTTTTTTTGGAAAATCTCGATTTTCGTGATTAAAGCTTTTTTAATCGAAAATACACTTAAAAAAAGCAATTTAAAGCGGATAATTCAAAGTGAATTCAAAATGATTCGGAGTCACTCTAGTGACTACTAAAGGGACCCCTTAACTTGTCCTAAAATACACTTAACGGACCACTTGAGATCGTCTTCTTTTTTTTTGAAGGATGAATTTTAAAAATTTGGTTGATTCCTTTTTAACATCATCCTAAAGATGACTTTAATAAATAATTAGCTTCCGGATTTTTCTTTCAAACCGCGACGCATCGAACCATTCCAAGTGCGACCACAGATTTTCCAATCGGACAAAATTTTTTCTGAAAAAAATTCAATTGATGGAGTTGCTCCTTGATTTTTTGACGCACTTTTATTCATGTCTATCAAGAATATTTGAAAAATTTTTACCGAATTATCAGTTTTCAAGAAAGTTTTTTTCTCTTTTTGAGACAAAGTTGCGTCGTTCAACCTTCAACTTTGTTTCAACTTTACACAGGACTCATCGCGACCATAAAGAATGATAAGTAGACTGACTGACCCATCAATGATCAACAACAGTTTTTTTGTTGATACGGTTGGAAAAGGATAAGAAAGCTATATATTCAATACAAAGAATCGAAGAAAAAAAGTTGTCTAAATGAAAATCGAAATAAAATGATTAAAGGCCTTGAGAACAAAAACATGTAAATTTTTTTCTGGTTTTTTTGCTATTTTCCTTTTTCTCCCGTCTTTCAGAATTTTTTTCTTATTGTACTTTGATAAAAAGCCAATGCTAAAGTGACAAAATTGACAGTTATCTTTATGATTCAGTTTTTTTAAAAAAATTTCCGACAGGTTTCTATAAAACTTTTAACATTTTAATTAGTAAAGAATTCGATACATCATGAAGGAAAATATCTATGAAATTTCACTGAAAACTCTCCAAAAAGCTTTTTTCACAGTCTTAGAATAATCAAAAAATAGTGAAGTCTGAAATTTTGAGGTTTCGCCACGAAAGAGAGCAGCTGCCCTAAAGCTACTGTAGGCTATTTCTTTCCTCTTATTCTTCCTGATTCTAACCAAAATTTACATTTTAAGGCGGAATTTCTTGTTTTTACGAAAAGAAGATAGATCTTCATGCTTTATTAGTTGAAACATTTTGAGAAAAGACCCAAAAAATCCTTTAAAATGTCGAGAAAGTAACGAAAATCGCGTCAAAAAGTTTTTCTATGATGATTTTCACAAGTTTCTTAATGTTCACGGTGTAACGTGATTAGAATTATTTATTTAGATCAAAAAATTCCTGAAACTTGTTAAAACCACCTTGAAACAATCGACAAACTTCAAAGAATCCCAAGGTTAGGTCACGACGCGAAAAAGAAAAGCTGCCCCTGAGGCTACTGTAGGCTTTTTTACTCATTTTTTCGCAGGTTTTCGAAATTTCGGTATGAATTTTTAGGCGAAGTAGGCGGAAAATTTTCTGCTTGTTTTGAGTGGATATAATCAAGCTAAAAATGGTTTGGGCTCTTAAAATAATCAGAAAAGACATGAATACAAGTCCATTGTCTCTTTCTAGACTATATTTAATAAATCACCTAATTTGATAAATTTAACATATTCAGTAGTATCAATTGAAATCGAAAGTCCCGCAAAATCTGTTGAAACCACCTTAAAACAATCAAAAAACTTGAAATGACTTCAAGGTCAGGTCACGCCGCGAAAGAGAACAGCTGCCCCTGAGGCTACTGTAGGCTGTTTCTCTAGCTTGTTTTACTCAT